GGCACAAATTTAGAATAATTTTTTCTAAGATTTATGCGAAAATGCTAACTCGCGCTTTGCAGAAACAACCGAGATTTTTAGATCGAAAGTCGGCGAAAATTAAGGACTGTTTGCCGAAGTCGGCACGAAAAGTTTCATGCCTATTTCTACCATAAAGGATAATGTTCCTACAAAAAATCAAATTTTTCCGCACGGAACGGCCAAAGTTATGGCCAAAAAAACGCTTTTTCTCGAAGCGTTTTTCTCTTTTTTTCTCTGACCGCTCTCCACGTTTAGCGTGCTCTCTCGGCGGCAACTTTTTCGAAGACCCGTAATTTCTAGCTCGCGTTCTGCAGAAACAATCGAGATTTTTAATAATAAAAAATGTTTTGAGATGCTTTCAAACTGTACCGATGCATGCACTCATACCCCACTATCGCAATGTGTAAGTGCGGCTGGAGATTTTTTGCGACAAGGAATTGTGTTACGAAAAATCAGCATATACTCCCGGACATAGTTTTTTGACCACCGATATCCCAAGTGAATATAATGCAATCGATTTGAAATCTGGCATGTATACTAGTCATGACAGGCAGAATCGGGCACATAAAATAGTTTTTCGTGTTTCTATCATGAGGCGAGTTCAAAAGTGATCACAAAGTTTTGTCACTCTTTTTTTTTGAAAATGTTGAGAAAACAGCCTTTAAAGTGCAAGAATGGAAAATTCCGTTCTACCAAATGTTTTGCAGCTCTTCTTGATAAAGCAGTTAAAATTTGGAACATGAAGCTTAATTAACAGCCGAGCAAAAGGGTGGTCAGAGAGATATGTCCGGGAGTATACTAGGTATATATAGTAGGTATAGTCCTCTACGGACTGTATAATCGGGATTTTTAAGGAAAACGTGGCCAAGAAAAATTGCTACTTCTTTGTGAAATTTTTGGATAATTTTTCGCACGACGGTGTCGCTTCGTATTCCCTAACTAAACAATGGAAACTTTTCTGATCCACTCCTTGCTTCTATGATGTGCCTAGTGTAGATAAAATGAATTGAAATTGAAATTTATTTTCCCCAGTAAAGGTTTCACTGTAAATTCCTTGCAGTGAACATCACTCTAATCCCAACAACTTTCTCGCTTATGCAATAGTGCCGTGTTTTCCACGACTTCTCCCCTTCTCCCAATCTCGTCAGCGAATGGTAAACGGGCGCCTTCGAGAAGCTGAAAGGCCCTCTCTCCTGAATGAGTTGTTTATTCGGATCTCCCTTCATTTCGTTACACGCACGTGCAGAAAAAACAACGCGTGGGGCAGGTTGGGGCGTCAAAGCGGGCCGGATGTAATGAAAGGCGAGGAAGTCAGTCGGGAAATGCGAAAGGTGCGTACGGTAGCGAATTTGTCACTCTTCCAGGAAATTCCGGCTATTTATGATATCAGTGGGGAAATAATGAGCACTCTGTCGCATGGAAAATCGCATCACCGTGGGAAAACTGAATTGTGTCGCGGAAAAGTCTAATCGCTTTTCACTTTAGCGACGCGATTGGAACAACGATATTGTGGTCATTATTTTCCCGACAGACTGATGGTACTAGTCGTAGTGCGTAGATTTTTCGTTGTAGGCCGTACTGTGCACAAAAAACCCTTTTTGCGGCGTGGATTTGATCTTTTGCACCGTGCAAGCTCAATATCGCATCGACACAAGCTTTCAACGGAGTGGGCGCGAATTTTGGACGCACAAAATGAAATTTCACAGTGTAAAATGTTTCAACAAGGACCGCGTCGCGCGGGGAACAGGAAACTTGCACTGTGTGGTCCGAAAGAAGCGGAAACAGACTAGTATTCGCATCTGAAAACATATTATGCCGCGGTAATTTTGAAAATGATAGAAAGCTTGCAACAAAAAAGTCTACAGACTTTCTGAAAAATACTATATTAAATATAAGCCATGGTTGACCAGGCTCTCATTTCGAGCCAAAACCAAACGTTCCGGGCTGCAAAATCAGGACCGCCTTGGATTACCGCCGTGCGCAAAGCTGTGGGTTTGTCGGATAAATAATGAGCACAATGTTGATCGGGTCGCTGAAGTGAAAAGCAATACAAGTCTGTCAGGAAAATAATGTGGATTTGCCGTTGTTAGCAGTCACAGAGAGAATGATGGGCGACTCGAAATTCGAAATGCGTTCTCATTATTTTCCCAAAAAAAAGACAGATATTTTTTGATTTTTTAGCGGTCCACTTTAGCCTCAAAGAATGCTCACTATTTTCCCGACAGACTGATACGATAACATTTTTTAAATACGATGAACTTCCACCTGAAGTATAACACTCAAAGCCCCAGCCCAACGCCCTCCACAGCCCATCCACATCCCACTCCAACATACGATAGTTACATTGCCCGCGGCGGCCCGTCCAATTCCCCCCGGCCGCACTTGGCGCCGCGGTGTGAATGGAGTTAATTGGGGGCCCGAGTACAAGTATATCTAATCGGCGGACACCTTGATTAGCATCGACTATAATAACACCCACCGGGGCGAAACGAAGGGTCGATGGCCACGGGGGAGATGTGGATTTCCACACCAATTTCTGATGTATAAATGTGTTTTACACGGAAGACGGAAAGGGCACGCACTCTGCGGTCATGTGAAGGGTGCAGTTACGAAGAAGATATCAGCTCTTACATAGAAGGTAATCTTGTGGAGGATCTAACTAATTTATCATCAGTTTTTTGGGAAAATAATGAGCAACAAATCAAGAGACATCGCTGTGTCACGATTCCGTGAAGAATTCCCAGGAATTAGCATAAACACGAATATTTCGATATAAATGTAATGGATCGACCGCTTTTCGGTCACTCGTTGGTGAAATAAACATATTTTTGGAATTGTTGGAATTCGCCTTGTCACAGTGCGGTGGTGGTCCAAGCTAATTGAAGCCGAGTTCACGGTTTTTCTCCTAGAGTTCTCTGGTTGTGGTCTCCGGGTTAGTAGGGGCAGTGGATACTAGGAGTAGAGGGCCTCTTTACACCTTGACTACATAAGTCTTGACAGCTAATAGCGGTCGCAAAGCGATGATAGGGGGTTCCAAGGCAAAACGAATCCACGTATTTTCCGACCGACTTACACTACGTCAATATTCTTTTTCCAGAACATTGTTTGTTTAACCCTGAATGAAATATGTAACGAGATTGAGTTGAATTCCGTATCACATGACTTCCGAACCTCCCTCATGTGCTACACTTCCAAACAACCTCCAAAATCCCCGCTAATAACCGAATTATCCCTTCGCCAAGTGTAATAGCAAGTCTCCTAACGCCGCTTTCAACAACATGTCAACACTGGGATTACCCGCTGGCAATTACAAGCCCAGTCTACGCCGATAATCCACAAAGTAATTGAGTGTGTAGAAGGTGCACTAAAAGGCGGATTAATCTGTGGAATCAAGTGTAAGTAAGGAAGGAGAGAGGTAATCGTAGATTGAGGCAGTTTCTTGAGGACGTGACTAGAGAGTAGCTCTTTCCGGGAAAGGATAAAGTAATTGGTGAGAAGTGTAGGATGTAGGCGGTGATGATACTATTAGTACTTTCAGAAAGTGAGTAGACTTTTTTGCCTCTTATCGCGAGCACACAGCGACGTACAAGTCGTTTCAGAAAGTGCGTAGACGTTTTCGCGGTGAACAGTGCATTTTTTTTGCACATTGCAACGCCAGTCGCGATCACAAATTTCGCAGCAAATTTTCTTTTGGCAAATCAAGAGCACTGTGCATTTCACCTTTTTTTCTTGCACTGTGCGCACTACGGAAAAGTCCATGCACTTTTTTGAAAATGCTAATAAGGACAGGTTGGTGGAAAATTCACCACGAAAGAAGGTATTGCATATTATGTATATAAACGAGGCAGAAATCGCAGAAAACATGACAAATGTTTTAGGACTTCCGTTGGTAAATGAAACGCTATCCCATTTGCACTATGCTGTCGAGTGTCGCATGCCATTAGATTATATGTACAATGAAATAGAAGCCCTGGGAAGAGATACCTATCGTCTGAATTGATGGTGTCATCCTTGCCCTTCTCCTACAGTGTTTAGACCGTATATGGGGGCTGAGGATTGATAAGAGGCGAACCCCTACTAGCTAATAGTCGTTCCACGAAGCGCATAGACTTTTTTCCTTGCGTCGCGGCGATTTTTTAATTGCACAGTGCAAAAGGTCTAAAATGCACAGTGCGTAAAGCTTGCGATGAGAAGTCTACGTACTTTTTGCAATAGGCTTTTTTTGGACTGTCGCTTGTACCGTGACTTTTTTCGCACATTGCAAACGCCGAAGATCACTGAAGAGATTCCGGCGCCATGAAATGTGCGAAAAGAAAAGTTCACTTTTTACTGCGAAATTTCTTGCTTTATGCACCGTGCAATAGGCATTTTTGTGCTGTCGCATCCTGAATTGTTTCTGCACAGTGTGAAATTCACTGTAGCGACTTTGTAAAAGGACTTGTAATATGCAGTTCCCAGGCCCGACGACCCAATAACCGATCAAGCCGAGAGCTCAAGACTCAACTGATATTTTCATTGGAAACAAGGCCTTTTATAGGGAATGCCCATGTGTAAAAGTGCAATCAAATTTGAATAAATGAAGGTAGATTTTCATGGGAAAATCCTCAAAACTTGTCTTCACAAAAATTCCCCTCTGCACTGTGCAATTTCTCGCTTTTTGCACCGTGCAACAGGCTTTTTTCGGCTGTTGCATTCTGACTTTTTCTGCACAGTGCAAACGCCCAAAATCAGTGCAGCGACTTTGCGAACGGCCTACTATTATATTTGCTATACATATACATACATAAACATTGAAGCGTAAGCGCGTCATTAGCCGGAACAAGTCAAGTCCGGCCTGCCAGCGTCACCTCTTCGCCTTTTGGGCCCATCCTCATTTATTATACAATACCGCCCGAACCTGACCTGACAAAAGGGCCGGCCGGAGGCGTCAGGCTGTGAGAAAAAGGGGGATAAAAGAATGCCATGGATTCCGCTCGAGAATGGGCCGACGGGGCTTTTGTGTAAGGGCGGGAGGCGCGCCATTCATTGGCCCCGCTTTGCGGCCCATCGGGCCCTTGTCTTTGTTCGCCGAAACGAAACGTCGAAGGGCTTCGGGGCAGGCGGCTCGTCCCCCCACAAAACAATCTTCGCCTCCAGGCTGCGAGACGTTTTTGCCGAGGCCCTTCCTACCGTTTTCCGAGAAGAAAAGGGGACTTGTGAATGGCGAGGCGGAAGCAGGGGACGGAGGACGAGGAGGAATCGAATGGCACATCGTTTTGCGGGCCTACGGTAGAGGAATGGATGGGAAATGGGGGAAGCGCGGCGAAGAATAGCACTATCAGGCTGTCGGGAAAATAATGAGCAGCGTCGAAAATTGGAAAATTTCATCGCAACATTCCGTCGGGAAAATAATGTGGATTTTTCATTCCGTCGGGAAAATAGTGTGGATTTATCAGTCTGTCGGGAAAATAATGTGGATATATCAGCTTGTCGGGAAAATAATGTGGATTTATCATTTGTTTCAAAATTTTCCCGGCAGGCCCCGAAAAAAATGCTAGAGAGATTTTCGCGACATGCACTGTGCGAAAACAAAAGTTCGGTTTGCACTGTGCAATTTCGGGATTTTTTGCACCGTGCAGAGGATTTCTTGAGCCGTTTCATCCTGACTTTTTTTGCACAGTGCAAACGTCAAAAATGAAACCGAAGATTTTCCGTACGGAGCAATGTTGTGTCTCCGATGTTAAGAAACGTATGTTTTTGAAACAGTTTTTCTCGTCAAAGCTTATAGCTTGAGGCAATAAGTAAGCAAGTAAAGTAAAGAAAAAATAACATTGTTTTTTGTGTAAAAATGTCGGCTCAACAAAAAAAGAATGACGACAAAAAAATCTGAAAAAATATAGAATTTCAAAAATCATAAAGAGGAAAAAATAAATAAACCAACATACGAAGAAGCGTATATACATATATGTTATAGGCTTAGGACCCCGCAAACAGCAAATCTGTCAAAAGTATGGTATGTCAGTCAGTTCGCAAGGTCGCTGGAGTTGTTTTGTGAAGTTTGCACTGTGCGAAAAAAGTCAGGATTCATGTTGGTAGGCTGGCTTGAAAACAAATTTATCAAGTTAAAAATGATGCATTAAAAAAGGTAATAGGGCCACATTGAAGGATAGCGTAGCAAATTTTACCATTCCCAAATAGGACTATATAGAAGGGTGCCTAGCAAAGTTACCATGCCAAAATAAGGACACATTGAAGGGTACCGCAGCGAATTTACCATGCCCAAATAGGACTATATAGAAGGGTACCGCAGCGAATTTACCATGCCCAAATAGGACTATATAGAAGGGTGCCGTAGCAAAGTTACCATGCCCAAATAGGACCACATTTAAGGTTAGTAGTAGCAAATTTACCATGCCCAAAATAGGGCCATATTGAAGCTCAAAAAAACAAGGGAAGTACCCCACATTGAAAGGTGCCATATCAGATTTATCATGCCCAAATAGGGCCATATTGAAGGGCGCCGCAACGAGTTTACCATGCTCAAATAAGACTATATAGAATGGTGCCGTAGCAAAGTTACCATGCCCAAATAGGACCACATTTAAGGTTGGTAGTAGCAAATTTACCATGCCCAAATAGGGCCATATTGAAGCTCAAAAAAACAAGGGAAGTATCCCACATTGAAGGGTACCGCAGCAAATTTACCATGCCCAGGTAGGGCCATATTGAACGGTACCGTAGCCAGCCCACTTATCGCCTCAAATTTCCCGTCGCATCATCCCAATCACGCCCCTCCCGGACACCTCCTCCAGCATAACAAATGTGAGCGGGGGACCTGTGGCGCCGCGTATGGACTGGATGGGCCGGGGCTTATTAAAACGCCTTAACGAAATCCGAATGAATCGCGTGCAAATGTGCGCTTAATTCCGGTCCTCGCAATTAGCGTGGACTTGTCGTCGCACCTTGGGCTTTGCTTCCAAGATCCCTTCTCCTCTTCTCGCCCCCCTCAGGGGCCTTCATTATGAATAGAAACAAAATTCGTTTCGGCCGGTGCGCCCGAAACGAAGGTGCTAAATGAGCGCGGAGAAAGGTGCGATGCCCAGAATTGGGAATGAAAGCCAAACGGATTCGAAGGGGGGATTTGCGGATGGGAAAGAAGAGAGCGAAATGCTTACAGTATTAACAGGAGAAGTACGAAAGTACGACACTCAGATTTTGATAAAACTTGACGTAAAATTGGATGGTTTTGAGTGATTAAACTTGAAGAAAAATGTGATAAATGGCATTTTGAGGAGCATGATAATAAATAAAGTGGCTGTAAATTACTAATAGACACATTTATCATGACATTAAGACAGCGAAAACACCTTATAATTTCCTCTAATCACCAAAAAGGAAGTGTTGAAAGTGCGACCCTCAGATTTTATTTCACAGCGGCAAATCCACATTATTTTCCCGACAGATTGATACTCCAAGTGCGATGCTTGGATTGCGATAAAACTTGGCGCAAATTTTGAGCGATTTTTTCAACTCAGATTGTAAGAATTTTAGAAAAATCTGAAATATTTTTTTCCGAATTTTGGCATTAAAAAAGTTTTGTGCCAATATCTGTCATAGTGGGTAAGTTCTACCAAAAACTAAAGTTTTTCATCGCAAAAGAGGCAAAGATACTTATAAGAGTGAAACAACAAAATCGGTTGTTCAGAAAGCAAAACGTTAAAAAAGGTTTCCTTAAGCAGAAGAAAGCGGATTTAGCGTCTTTTTCAGAACCCAAAAAGATTTAAAAATAACTTTCTGACCGCTCTCGACACTTTGCGTACTCTCTTGGCGTAAAAAATTGTTGAATATCTCGGCTTCTCTGGCAAAGCGCAAGCTAAAAAGTTTTTTTAGGAATCGTTGTTTGGCCTATTATTTTGGCTTTCTTTCCTTTTGCACATTTTGCACATTTTTCCCGCCCTCGTCGCCAACGCACAGTGCAAAAAAGGAAAAAAAAGCCTTTTTGCACTGTGCAAATTTTTCAGGCAATGTGCACAGTGCGGACCGTGGAAAAAGTCCACGCACTTTACAAAATAAAAAAAGCTCAATTTTTGCAGGAAAAGATAGGAATTTTTAAGTAAAAAAATAAAAAAAAAATCCCAAAAAAAGATAAAAAAATTGAAATAAAATTTTTTTCTTGAAATACATAATTCAGTAATGAAAATCAAAAATACCTAAAAAATACAATTCCACCCTGTCCAGCTCCCCCCGAACACTTCATTAAGCTCATAACGCAACATTGTCACCCGAACCGCAATAAAAACAAGGCAATTATGCAATGGATCCGGGCTCATCCACTCCGGCAATTGACCCGAATTGGGGGCCAAGACGCCTCTAATTGTTCGCTGATCTCTCCCATTCGCTCGCCAAACAACTCGAGAGCGTAATGAAGCGCGCTTGAGGAATGGGAAAATTGGTCGTCAAAACAAAAGATTTTGGGGCATGAAACTAGAGTATAATAGGAAGTGCGAAGCTCGGATTCTGATGAAACTTGACATAAATTTGGAGTAATTTTGTCTATGACATAAAAAATGTCATGGGCAGAAATTTCAAAAAAAAAAAATAAAATTTTTAATTTTTGAAAAAATTTGAACATTGCAATTTAATAGGTTTTTTACAATTACGAGACCGCACGGTGCAAAACTGTAGGCTTTTTTTAACTAACAAGGGAAGTCACTTTTTTCGCAGATCGATCCATACTGGTGACCTAGTGGACAGTGAAGGCCTCAGGCTGTGTAAGAAGAATCTGGCGTCCAAAAGTGTTTACGGGCCCTGAAGGCAGAGTTATGACTCATCAAAGTTCGCGCAAAAAAGGTTCCGAAAAGACCCTCCAAAAAAACGGGGTTGGAGAAGTGAGCTTCGGTAGCAGGGTGGTTCGCAGATTTTTCTTTTGTCTGGAAGGGCCAGGGTTCGATTCCTCTTCCCGGCAATAAATAAAAATAATATTGTAAGAGTAAGTTACAAAAAAAATATTTTAAAATATTTTTTGAAAAATATTATCATCCTGTCGTTAAAAAAATGACGATTTTGTTCATATCGTCACTAAACTTATCATCTGCCCAGACAGCAAGCGTTTGACTCAAACGCTTCAGCATGATATCACGATCACCAAGGGCGTCTTCTAAAACATCAGAGATATACATATTGAGAATCCCAGTCCTACCTTCACGCCAAAGTTCCCGCAGTTTTCTCCAATGATACGGCGTCTTGATCCACCGTAATCGCCGCATTATTCCAGAAATTGAATGCGATCCTCGGTGGAAAAATGCCCTCTTATCCCTCACTGTGTCCAAGCTCACAGCGACTTCCCCAAATTTTAACGACAGGATAATAACATTTTTCAAAAAATATTTCAAAACATTTTTTTGTAATTTACGCTACTCTTACAATGTTATTTTTGGTTATTGCCGGGAAGAGGAATCGAAACCTGGCCCTTCCAGACAAAAGAAAAATCTGCGAACCACTCTGCTACCGAAGCTCACTTCTCCGATCCCGTTTTTTTGGAGGGTCTTTTCGGAACCTTTTTGCGTGAACTTTGATGAGCCATAACTCTGCCCTCAGGGCCCGTAAACACTTTTGGACGCCACATTCTTTTTACACAGCCTGAGGCCTTCACTGTCCACTAGGTCACCAGTATGGATCGATCTGCGAAAAAAGTGACTTCCCTTGTAAGAAATTGCACAGTGCACAGTAATAAGCATTTTTCAACTAAGAAAATGCACTGTGCAAAACTGTAGGCTTTTTTCAACTAAAAATCTGCACTGTGCAGAAAATTACAAATATATAACTACGAAAAATTGCACAGTGCAAGGTAATAGTCTTTTTTAAACTAAAAAATGCACTGTGCAAAACTGTAGGCTTTTTTTTAACTAAGAAAATGCACCGTGCAAAACTGCAGGCTTTTTTCCATTACGAAACCGCACAGTGCAAAACCGTAGGCTTTTTTCAACTACAAATTGCACTGTGCAGAAAATTACAGATATTTCTACCTACGAAAAATTGCACAGTGCAAGGTAATAGTCTTTTTTTCAACTACAAACCTGCACTGTGCAAAAGAAATAAGCTTGTTTGAACTATAAAAACGCACTGTGCAATACTGTAGGCTTTTTTCAATTACGAAACCCCACTGTGCAGAAAATTGGACATTTTTTCAATTACGAAAAATTGCACGGTGCAAGGTAATAGGCTTTTCTCAATTACAAAACTGCACTGTGCAAAGTAATAGGCTTTTTTCAACTAAAAATTTGCACTGTGCAAGACCATAGGCTTTTTTCAATTACGAAACCGCACTGTGCAGAAAATTACAAATATTTCTAACTACGAAAAACTGCACAGTGCAAGGTAATCAGCTTTTTTTAAACTAAGAAAATGCACTGTGCAAAACTGTAGGCTTTTTTCAACTACGAAACTGCACTGTGCAAAAGAAATAAGCTTTTTTGAACTATAAAAACGCACTGTGCAAAACTGTAGGCTTTTTTCAATTACGAAACCGCACTGTGCAGAAAATTACAAATATTTCTAACTACGAAAAAAAATTTTTTTTTTTATTTTCAAATAAAAAAAATTTTAAAAACCTCAAAGCGTTTTTGCCAAAAAAACAACAACAGAGTGCAAAAAAAATTACTTTTGATTTGCCTCCAATTCCACCCATTAAACCCGTCCACTTACCCCTCTAATCTAGTCCATTAGAACCGTTGTCCGTTCGTCTCATCTCGCGCACCTTTGACTTCCTTTTGACACGGCCGCGCGCCTTTGTTTCAGCCCACAAATTGCGCAATTATGACCCGACAAACATGCACTGTGCGCGAAAAGAGGAGACCACGGATTTGATTATGCAATTTTTTAAAAGATTTTTAGAGGATTTTTGTGATTTTTGGAGAGAAATTTGACTTTGGAATATAAGTTTTAATTAGAAAAAATTGAAAAATTTTCGTGCCAAAAATCGAAAAAAAAAATAAAAAAAAAATAAAAAAATTTTTTTTTTCAAATTTTTTTTCAAAAAAATTTCAAGTTTTTCCCAACTTTTGATCTATCATAAAAATCTCAGCCGTTTCTGCAAAACGCGAGCTAGAAATTTCATAAAATCATAAAAAAATATTTTAAATTTTAAAAAATTTTTCATAAAATCCCAACGCCGCAATTGAAGCACTTCCCCAGTAAGTTTATTGCGCAACAACATCCCGATATAATGTCAATCATTTGGCACTCCAATTATAATAACAAACTCATTGCGCAGACGCGTCCGGATCAAGTGAAAATAGCAAGTGTGGACGGACAGGAGGTCAGGAATAGGTGAGGATGGCGAAGACAATTATCTCGCAACAAATTGTGTCCTGAAAAAAAACATTTTTTTTTGCACAGTGCAATTTCCTAGTTGAGAAAAGCCTAAAGTTTTGCACAGTGCAATTTTGTAATTTAAAAAAGCCTATAGTTTTGCACAGTGCGATTTCTTAGATGAAAACAGCCTACATTTTCGCACAGTGCAATTTTATAGCGTAAATAGGTCAAAATTTTTGCATAGTGCGGTTTCTTAGCTTCAAAAAAGGCCTGCAGTTTTGCACTGTGCAATTTCTTAGCGCAAATAAGGTCTACGTTTTTGCACAGTGCAATTTCTTAGTTTGAAAAAGCCTAGATTTTCGCACAGTGCAATTTTGTAATTGAAAAAAGCCTATATTTTTGCACAGTGCACAAAAAATAAAAAAGTTAAAATACGAAGTAAAAACATATATCTTGTTCTCTTTGTGTATTTCTCGGTAAATATCAATACAAAAAACCCTAATTTTTCACAGTAAACTAAAAACTTTGACTCACGTTAATATAGCGCCACTTAGTCAGCACATCATTTGCTTGATCCCAAAAACATCCAATGTGAGCTCTAAAAAACGAAAAATCATTTTAAAGATTAGTACTCCAGCTCACCGCAGTCCCTGACCACGAGGCTCCGTCAAAATGACTTGAAAGACGTACTTGTAGCGGGCGAATGGGAACTCTGCAAAATACATCGGTTTTATGGGGATTTTAGCGTATTACGCTTTTTCAAAAGTGCAGAGACATTTTGTCGTTGGCCGCACCGTGCAAAAACCTCCTTTTTGGGGTGCGTTTGACCTTTTGCACTGTGCAACCGGATATTGCTGCGACGTAAGCGTTTCTCAGCTGTGTCGCTGCGAACTTTGGGCGTGCGAAAAGAATTTGCACAGTGCAAAATGGATTTCGTCGCACAACATGCACGGTGCGGTGCAAAAAAGGCCGGAAAATGTCTCTGCACTTTTGAAAAAGCGTAATATAAAAATGACAAGGTTTGACCTGCACATTGCTCTAGGAGGAGTGGGCACTTTATGTGAGCTGTTCGCATAGGAAAAATTTTATTTTGGTAAGAAGGGAGCACGGCATTTTTTGACCGCCTTTTTTGGTATGTGAAAAAAATATGAAATGGTAAGTTTTCGTATTCATTTCTTTGAAAACTAAAAAAAAATTTTTTTTAAAAAATCTGCCTTGGTCCCCCTTACTATATTCAATTTTTTCTAGGCTCCTCCTGTTCCAAAAAAAGCCTAAATTTTGGCACGGTGCAACTTTTTAATGCAAAAAAGCTTACGTTTCCGCACAGTGCAAATTTTACATAACTTTTTTTAATAAAAACTGTTTTTTTTGACTACAAACATCGCGGACTCATACAATTTTTACAGGGTGCAACTTCACGGTGCAAAAAAGCCTAGAGTTTTGCACTGTGCAATTTCATAGGGTAAAAAAGCCTAGAATTTTGCACAGTGCAATTTCATAGTGCAAAAATGCCTAGGATTGTGCACAGTGCAACTTCATAGTCCAAAAAAGCCTAGAGTTTTGCATGGAAGGGCTGGTGTCAAAAACCACCGTACCCTTAAACTTTTGTGTCAACGCGGCGACAATCTTGTCGTTCAAGAAGCCGGCGGTAGCATCACTATAGGTCTGATTCTTCAAAATATCAAACACCGCTTCGTCCAACGCCTTCAGGCAATAGGCCTTTGTCGGTTTGTCGAGGGAATGGGCCATCGACGGACGGTCACCAGAGGACTGGAAAGCGCAGTATTTATAAAATCGCTGTAGTAAAGGAAAATATTATATTTAAAAGCGTTGGCCATGCCTTCGACTTCCTCTTTGCATTAGTAATGCTTCGCATCTCCTAAAAAGGCCTTTGGTTTTGGCTCTGTTTTGAATAACAGTCCCGTTTGCGGGGCTCCATTTGTCCTGCTAAAGTTGGGGTTTGGCCTCGACTAGACTAGATATACTTATCGCTTGAGGTCATCTCGCAATGACTGCGGTTTCTATAAAAAAAACCGGAAATATTCAGACATACCCATATTATTTTCCCGGCAGATCAATAAATCCGCATTATTTTTCCGACAAATTTATAAATCCTCATTATTTTCCAAACAGACTTATAAATCCACATTATTTTCACGACAGACCGATAAAACCACATTATTTTCCAGACAGACTGATAAATCCACATTATTTTCCCGACAGCCTGATAAATCGACATTATTTTTCCGACAGGCTGCTAAGCCCCCATTACTTTCCCGACAGACTGATAAATCCTCATTATTTTCCCGACAGGCCGGTAAAACCACATTATTTTCCAGACAGACCGATAAAGCAAGTTTATTTTCCAGACAAACTTATAAATCCACATTATTTTCCCGACAGACCGATAAAGCCACATTATTTTCCAAACAGGCTTATAAATCCATATTATTTTCCCGACAGACTCTTATTTTTATTTTCATAATGTTTTCATAAACATTTTTTCGTGGGCCGCGCCGTGCTAGAACACGTTTGTGCACCGTGCATTTCAATTTGTTTTTGTGTTCGCACTGTGCATTTGAAATATCGCTGGGACATCGAGGAATTTGCACGGTGCAAATGGCTTTTTTGTGATTTGCACCGTGCGAAAAGAGAAAAAGAGAAATGCACTGTGCGTTGGCGACAAGCGTGGGAAAGAGTTCAAAATGTCGCGCGAAATGCACTGTGCGATGAGGAAAAGGGGGAAAAGAGTCTACGGACTTTCTGGAAGGGCTAGAAGTGCTGTTCAACATATTTCTCTGAAATTATTGACCTTTATCAACATATAAGAGCATATAAAATGTAACATATATAACAAATAATATATTGTGATATATAAATCACCAAATGACTTGAGTTTCTTGCGTAATAACCGTATTCCAATGAGCATTCCATGGCATTTCCTCCTCTCTGCCTCCACAAACTCTCTCATCCCTTGACCAGCACCATCGGCGGTCCCACTCGCCCCGTATTCGTCGACGTATTCAACGTGATCGTCCTTAAGTTCTGATCCGTCACCCTCCGCGAATTGGTCATGCTCTCCGCGTACTGCTTCGAGAAGATCCCAATAAAGGAGCGACGAATGTCGCGGTTCAGCGTCAGGTACAGGTAGGGCGACGCGCAGATCAGGATCACGTTCAGCACGTTGGTGCGGATCGTTTCATTGACGAATGGCAGGATTTCGCCGGTGAACATGCTGGTCACTGCACACGCGAAGATGAACGTGTTCTGGATGAGGATCCGATATTCCAGACGACGAGGGAGAGATTTGGCTTCGCCATAGTGACGCTGAAAAAGAACTTTGGATAAATAGAAAATATATGATGACATTTGCACAATGAAATTGATTTTTGTCGATTTTATTTCGCTTTTTTTGATTAGTTGCAAAATTTTCCGGCAATTATTTTTGCACAGTGCAAATTTTTAGTGCAAAAAAGCCTACAATTTTTCACAGTGCAATTTCATAGCGCAAAAAAGCCTAGAGTTTTGCACAGTGCAATTTCATAGTGTAAAAAAGCCTAAAATTTTGCACAGTGCAATTCCATAGGGCAAAAAAGCCTAGAGTTTTGCACTGTGCAATTTGTAACTTTCTAGTGTAAAAAAAGTGAAAAGAACATGAGAAGTAGAAAAGTTGGAGTAAATACAAAATATACGATGACATGTGGACAAACGAAATTGATTTTTGCCAATTTTATTTTGCTTTTTTAAGATTTTCAGTAAAATTTTCCAACCATTTTTTGCACAGTGCAGCTTTATAGTGCAAAAAAGCCTATGTTTTTGCACAGTACAATTTCAAAGTGCAAAAAAGCTTGCAGTTTTGCACCGTGCAATTTCATAGCGCCAAAAAAGAATAAAATTCCCCACAAAATAACAGAAATCATAAAAAAATTTTACCAACCTTGTAATAGATCAATCCAAAAATCACCGTCGTTCCGATGACCCCGAAAGCACAAACGCTGCAGTTCAGAATGGCAAAGATCATGTTGGTGATTGGATGAGGGACCACTTCAGTCTGCGGATTCCATCTCATTTGACTCGAATCGAAGAACACATAGGCCCCGGTGAGATGCCAGATAAATGTTTGGGTAAATCCGGCTACCCAAATAAAAATTATTGAGGGCTGAAATAAAAAAAAGATTAAATTTGGAATTAAATTTTTTTTTTTTTTTTTTTTTTATGTTTCTTCTTGGAAAAAAACGTATTTTTTTACATTCATATTTCAGTGGAAAAAATGTTTTTTTCAAAATAAAAAAATAAAAAAAATCCAATTTAGTGCCGTAATATGGCAAAGCATCGTAAAAAATTATAGAAGTTCCCTCTGTGCAGATTTTTTTTTATTAAAAAGATCCGCACCGTGCAGGGTTTTTTACCGAAAAATCGCACTGTGCAAAAATCTAGGCTTTTTTCAACTAAAAAATCGCACTGTGCAAAACTGTAGGCTTATTTGCACTATGAAATCGCACTGTGCAAAAATTGGAAAATTGCACATTAATACAGGTCTTTCTCTATTCAAAATTTCACACAAAACAAAAAATCGGGCTTTTAAAAAATCGCACAGTGCAAAACAATAGGCTTTTTTCACTATAAAACTGCACTGTGCAAAAGTATAGGCTTTTTTCAACTACAAAATCGCACTGTGCGAAACTCTAAGCTTATTTGCACTATAAAATTGCACTGTGCAAAAATTTTTTTTGTTAAAAATTGCACTGTGCAAAAAAATTTTTTTCAACCCCTAAATTTCCAAGCCCCTTTTCAAAAACTCACATCAATTCTCCACTTGCCAACATCGTCATGTTGAACCCGAGTCACATTGAACACGGCATACAGCCGATCCACCACCAACAAAACATGATTGAACACCGTAATGCACCAGAACCCATTGTTAATAATGCTGAATACGATCGTCATTTTCGGGCCCGGCTCGTAGCCAATCAGCAATCGGATGGCGGCGCCGACGCTGTTCAGAAGTTGGCCCAGCTCCACCAGCGACAAGGACAGCATGATTCGCATGGCAGAGCGGTATTTGAGGTTGGGGAGGCGGTACATTGCCTGAAGTTGGAGGCAAGGTAAAAAATTTTTATTTCAAAAAATGTTGGGATCATAAAAAATGAGCAAAAAAGTGTGCAATCTAAAATTAGGGAAATTTTAGTGCACTGTGCGGTCAAACATTTTTTTTTGAAATTGCACCGTGCAATTCAAAAATTTGAAAAATTTTCGGTGCACTGTGCAAAACTCAAGGCTTTTTTGCACTAAGAAATTGCACCGTGCAAAACTCTAGGCTTTTTTGCACTATGAAATCGCACTGTGCGAAACTCTAGGCTTTTTTGCACTAAGAAATTGCACGGTGCAAAACTCTAGGCTTTTTTGCACTATGAAATCGCACTGTGCGAAACTCTAGGCTTTTTTGCACTATGGAATCGCACTGTGCAATAGAAAAAAACGGTAAATGGCGAAAAAAGTCAATGAAATCTTGAAAAATCTTGTAAAATCGGGTTTTTCATTGAATTTGGTGTAAATTTTTACATTTTTCACAAAAAAATTTTTTTTACAAATTTTTTTTTTTTTAATTTTTATTCAAAAAATTTCCAAAACCTACATAATTGACGAGTATATTGATGGGCGTTGTGATATGCACACAAACCAGGAACCAGACGCCCCAGGCGACGGTGTTCACGGCCATTAAGTCCACCTGTCCTCGCGTTCCGACGCCTTTATGTAAGTCGTTTCAAGAGGTCCGAGGTTGTAGGTGGGCTTCGCCTGAAAATGTAATCATAATCCGATTACAATGGAATACATCGAACCCGGGAAATATGTATTTGCGCGACAAAATTTGGGCCAGCTTTCCGAAAATACGCGTTGATTAAATAAAAGTTCTCTGGGGCTGTACAAGTTGTAAATAGGTGGGTCGTAATGGCAAAAAATTAACTTTGTTGAGATGAATAGGATTTTTGAGCTTTTATTTTACCATTTTCATAAAGTTTATGGACATTTTTCCCCCTTCGCACAGTGCAAGTCACAAACTAGACGTTTGCACGGTGCGAAGCCAAAAAACAGCGAAATGCACGGTGCGAAGCACTTATGATTTTCATAAAGTGCATGGACATTCTTTCGCATTCACACAGTGCATTTTGAACTTTTGGTATGTTTTTTGCGACTGGATCAGGTCCCACTGTAGCTGTTTCTCTCCGAAAACAGAAGTAAAGCGAAGCGGACGGTCCTAGAGCGAGCTTACCAAGTTTACATATTTTTACCTTTTCGGGTTCAAATCCGTACGGGGGCAAACTTGTAAATAACTAATTTATAAACTTTCATTTAATTTTTATTAAATTTAGGGGTTCAAATTACATTTTCCATTTCTTTTGCATACTTTACGATAACTTTTTATGTAGCACATTTCGAATGCGAGCTTCAACGAGCTGACATTTTCAGGCGTGCCAATAAAACTGGCTGGTATTTCAACTGTAAAAAAAATTACGCTCCCATGGAAAAAAGAGGAAAAAAAATTACTGCTACTAGCTGGAATTGAACCGAATTTGAAATGTTTTCGCTTCGGGACTGGAAAAACGAGCTCGTTTTGTTAATTTTATCATCTAACCGGGGAGTATCCCAAGTGTGACGCTCAGATTTTGATGAAACTTGGCACAAATTTGAAATAATTTTTTTGCGAATTTTGGCATGAAAAGTTATAAGGTGTGACATCTTATACGATGACATTTTTTTCAAATAAAAAAAATGAGGTGTGACATGTTATACCATGAGATTTTTTTCAAACTGAATTTTTTTCAAACAATTTTCACCTCGTTTTTTCAATTTTCAAAATTAGGGAGTGTTCAAAAAAGGGGAGAGTTCAGATTGTGGGAAAGTTCAGAAAGGGGGCAGAGTTCAGGCTCAACCGCAGTTGACCTTTTTTCCTGCACAGTGCGGCGCATGACGAAAAGTCTGCGCACTTTATGAAAATTCTAATAAGGACAGTATCTGAAATAACATACATATAAATTACGTTTCATATACGAGGATTCAGCACGAAAAGAGGTCTGTAAACAAGGTAGAAATCGCAGAAAATGACGAATGTTTTTAAGAATACGGTAGTAGTCATACCGCTCGGACTGTGTGAAACCTTCGCATAAAATTTCACTCCTTTTACGGTTGCGAAAACTCAATTATATCTGACTGCCGGGAAAAACACTTCAATTGTAATAAAGTTAATAAAACTAAAACAGGTTAGCCCCAAATCGTCTGTTCTTTATGTAAACAATAAAAAACAAAAAAAAAACGAAATTAAGGTGTATTGGGGTAAAAAGTGTTACAAGAATCAGCACTTTCGAAACGCCATTTCTGTTCATCGCCGTTGAGTTAATTACCGTCTCGGAAAACTAGCATAATTATGAGGTTTATGAGGCTTAACTATATGTAAAAAGTTGTTTTAATTCCGCGAATTTTCCATCGAATTACGTAGTAAATAATAGCGTATATGTAGTGAATTATCTTGTATAAAAACTAACAGGGGAAGTACTTCCAGTCGCAAAAAACATGCCATTTTGCATCCGGGAAGTATTAAAAAATGTGGCAAAAAATGCCTCCCTCTCCAAGTGAAAAAAAAACTCCAATTTCAAACGTGCGCCCGCTCTTTTTGTGAGAGCTCTTCAAAACGAAGTTTTTTCACTTGGAGATGGAGGCATTTTGCCACATTTTTTGATACTTCAAGGACGCAAAATGATACGTTTTTTGCCGCTGGATCAGGTACGTCACTGTAGATGGCGCTTTAAAAATAAAACGAGGGGTTTTTTTTCAGGGGAAGTACTCCAAGTGCGACGCTCAGATTTTCTTTAAATTTTGCACACATGTCGGGTATGGACTAAATATCAATTCCTGAAAGTTTTAGCTCGCGCTTTGCGGGCGCCGCCGAGAAATCAAACGATTTTTGCCGCCGAGAGAGCACGCTAAACGTGGATAGCAGAGAGAGGAAAGCGCTTTTTGGCCATAACTTTGGCAGTTTCGTGCGGAAAAATTTGATTTTTTTGTAGAAATATTATCCTTTACGGTAGAAATAGGCATCAAACTTTTCGTGCCGAAATTCGGCAAAAAGTCCTAAATTTCCGCCGACTTTCAATCTAAAAGTCTCGGTTGTTTCTGCAAAGCGCGAGCTGGGATTCTCGCATATGTCTTAGAAAAAAACATTCTAAATTTGTGCCAAGTTTCATCAAAATCTGAGTGTCGCACTTGGAGTACTTCCCCTGTTAGAAAAGGGAGGTATTTGGAGGCAATTTGGTTCCTTCCTGGATGCAAAATGGGACGTTTTTTGCCACTGGATCAGGCCCCTCACTGTAGTGAATTATCCTATACAAAAACAAAGTCAAAACTCGTTTCAGTCTGTCGGGAAAATAACAGCAGATGAGAACGATGACCAGAACAGTCATCTTCAACAGCCACGCCAATTGCGGGCCGAACATTGTGAAAAGGCGACTGAAATTTTACTATTAGCATTTCCATAAAGTGCGTAGACTATACGTCGCAAATTTTGTGCACTTTCATTTGACCTTTTGCAATTCAAAAGTCACCGCGACATATTATTCTTTCACCTACGTCGCCGCGCATTTTGTGAACAAAAGTCTATGCACTTTATGGAACGACTAGTGGCTATCGGAAAGCGACAAAGTGCTCATTATTTTCTCGACAGAGAAATAATTTTTCTACCAACAAAGAACTTCGATATAAACTAGGATTTTGGAGTTTGTGGAGCCTCAAAATCATCTATGAACCCAAAAATACAGCAGCTACTAAACCCTGCCCACACAAGCCGACAAAAATTCAAAATCCTATAGCTAAAAAGAGAGTGTAACCTGTGCAAAACAGAATGTCTCACTGTTCTTCAAGTGTCGATACAAATGGCCAGAATGTTCTCTACTATGACAACTCTTCAATGTGGGCACATACGTACCAAAACTATAAACTTAAAACACCTTTTTGTTAAGATTATACAAAATCAATTAATAGACACTAAACAAATATTAAAAATGAGGTCAAAACTCCCTAAAATATAATACTAAAGCATCAGCTCAACGTTCAATTGCTACTACTTATGAGCATTTTCATAAAGTGAATGGATTTTTGTAGTTGTGCCTTTCGCTTTCTCCCAATGCAAAAAAGGCTTGCGTCGCAACGATTTTGTTTGAAAAATCAAGTGCGCTGTGCAGTTGGCCTTCTTTTCTTGCACAATGCTCATTGTCCGATTCCACCTTCGGATAGAAAAGAAATTCAACGATCTGGCTGTGGTCTTGCGGTGGTTTCACAACTCTACAACACCTACAACAACTCGACACACGAACACAACAACTCCACCACGCTACAACAACACCATAAAATATAACTGATCAAGATGGGATAAAACCTCGGAGAAGGTTACGGTGTCGTAAATCAGGCGCTTCGCTTCGGGATCTCTCCACCGAACATTCTCGAACATCGGGGAAAAACAACTGGGGAAACAGTTGACACAGGGGACATTTCTCTCTCTCCATAAATTCCATCGAGTTGACACATCGTGGATAACTCCAGGTTCCGTGGAATCTGACACTCATGCACCTTATGAATTTATGAATAAGCGAATAGTCGTCCTTATTCCATAAAGTGCGTAGACTTGTTTCGCGCAAAATTCGCGGCGACACAGGGAAAAAGCTTGCGACAAAAAGTCTATGCACTTTTTGAAACCGCGACTCTTTCCAGAAAGTGCATAGACTTTTTTCTGCCTTGTTTGCACCGAATAGTAAAAATTTCCTGTTTCCAGTGCGCTTTTTGAAAAGATACGAACCCATCAAACTCACCATGTATAATACAAACCATACGAAACTTAAAATCGTCAGAACTGACTCCAAAATTGCCTCCAAGCTCCTGACAGGCTATGATTACGATCTCTATCGAAATCAGCTCCTTTTATGCAACCTTTGTGTTGGTTGATTCGGTACTTTGCTTTTTACATACGGTATGTTTTTTTTACTCGGGGAAAAAGTTGACCGCACTTGCACGGTACAACAGGTCAAATGCGCTGCAAAAGAAGGTTTTGTGCGCGGTGCGGCCCGCGACAAAAAATCTATGCACTTTGTGGAACCTGTAAAGCGGCACAATCTAAATGTCTGCTACAATTTTCGATTCTATGATATTATACTTTCTCACGGGACCTTTCTGCAAGTGAGCAGTGTTTTATGATATTAACGTTTTCATAAAGTGCATGGATGCTTCGTCTCGAGCTTCCCGCACTTGGCCTCTTGCACTTTCTTTTGTCACAAAAAAACTTGGGTAAGGACTACTTATTAGATTGTTGGGAAAATATGTGGATTTATCGCCGCGACATTTAGCTCATTATCAGTCTGTCGGGAAAATAATATGGATTATGAGTCTGTCGGAAAAATAATGTGGATTAGTCGTGCTCTAGATATTTGGCGCGCAACTGCGACGAGGCGAGACATTGACTGCGACAAATCCACATTATTTTCCCGACAGACTGATATGACCACATTATTTTCCCGACAGACTGATAAATCCACATTATGTTAAAATCGCCCTTAATCCCTCGGCTAACTGGGAGATTTACGCCGCAAGGCCAGACATTTTGCTGCGACAAATCCACATTATTCTCCCGACAGATAAGCTGGCAAGACTATCCACGCTGTCATAGTAAATACAAGCACACAAAATTCTTGCCCATCCCTCGTTATACGACTCTTCCCTCCCAACATGCAAGTCACGATATATGATTGCAATGGCCTGTAGATTGTACCGTAGTAACTATAAATTGTAAAGTTTCTTCTGTGTAATCTCTGGTTTCTATATAATATCAGCGCGTCCGTACGACTTTTGGAGAGCGTTTGGAGGCGGGAGCAGGATTGTAATATTGTATACTGTGCCTTAGTGTTGTTATCGTCAAGACAGAGCTTTGGAAATTTTGAAGAGCCTACTTTTTTTGGCCTGAAGCAGGATCTAATCTTTTGAGGCCACGCTTTGGGCTCGAGAATGAAAAATTTTATGTCCAGCCCCTTCAAAGAAAACCGCCTTGAAACGAAAACTTGGGATGCCAATTTTGGGTTTTTGGCGTTATGCAACAAAGATGTATTTGTGGCTCTATAACGGATCGAAAAAACACAATGCCAACGTCATGCGTGGCGGGAGAATTATATTAATAACTCAAAATTTATCAAAAAAAAAATTTTTTTTGACGTCGGGCCTAACAATCCTCAGGGCCCGGCCACAGGCCCCACAAGACCAAATTCACGATGCAAGTGTCCACGCAGTTTACGAAAACGCTGCACTGGGTAACCAGGGGAGAATGGGACTTGATGTGGGACCGACCGGTAGGAGAAGACGAGAAGACCGAGAAGGAAGTGTTTATTTCGCACCACAGCAGGAAAAGTGATTATAACATGACCAGATCCGTGGCTTTTATAGGGAATCAGCGAGCTTATACAAATTTTGGGTCTTGCGCCAGCAAATGTTAATAGGCCCTGTAGCAATGTCTGGCCTACGTACTCTTTGTCCGATTCCACCTTCGGAAAGAAAAGAAATTCAACGATATGGCTAGTGGTCTTGCGGTGGCCTCTTCAATCGACTACCTTCAGCACCTTCTACCTGGAAATACTTGGCCTTCCAAGTGGAAGGTTGCGGATGTGGATTCCGGTAATCGATTGTATTCGTTCCCCTTGTAAATAGACACGAGAATAGAGAATGATCAACTCGAATAAATGATTTATCAGACAATAGTAAACAATACAATAAATAAGGCAATACAAAAAGACAATACTCTACCCAACACAACTCTACAACCACACTCACAACACTACAACTACAACGCTCGACAACAAAAACAACTCGACAACAACTCGATCTTCACAACACGACCACTCACGAACTACAACTGATCAAGACGGGATAAAACCTCGGAGAAGGTTACGGTGCCGTGATTCAGGCTTTCCGCTTCGGGATCTCTCCATCGAACATTCTCGAACATCGGGGAAAAACAACTGGGGAAACAGTTGACACAGGGGACATCTCTCTCTCTCTCTCCATAAATTCCATCCAGTTGACACATCCTGGAATCTGACACTCTGCGAAAATACTTCAACATCCGTCAGTGTACATCCTTGTTATTATTTGTGGCTGTGACGTCCTGCCTACAAGAGAACCATCAATAAAATTAGCAATGAAAGTTCGCAAGAGTAGCCTACAAAACCGCGAGAATAATACATATTTTCAAATAAATATTGTATTCCACGGAAAATGAGCAGTTTCTGCTTCTTTTGTACATCTAAATTGTGATTTCCCACTACAACGGGTAAAGCTGTTTGCAGTCTTTTCCAAGAATAGAATAAGCAAACAGATGCGAACAAGTCACTTGCAAATACATACAAATGGCAAACATCATGTCATGTAATTTATGTGCCGCTGACACAATACAAAAAACAAAGGAGGTAAGTTTATGTTTTGGAAGTAAATATTGTATTGCGAACTGCTGTTTTTACGCTTGGTCGCGAGGACATGGCAACTGGGCCATTTTCTGGATACCAAGAAAATGTATTGGTCGCGGAGAAACCAGTTCAGCGACGCTATCGGCTACATTTGTGCTCTTTCTTTCATTATTGTCCCGATAGACTGAAGTCCGAGTGTCTGTCGGCAAAATATTTGAACCAATGGCTTGAACCCATCTATCGGCAGTTGTGCGATCCCGCTGCGGTACCACTCTTTGTTCTCATAAGCAAAAAACTCGCGGCACCCGTTTTCGACATCGTCCAGATGATTGAAGCTCCGACGACGCAGAAAGTGTGCCATGGAGCGGAAAAGGTGATAGTCGGATGGCGCAAGGTCCGGACTATACGCTGAATGTGGAAGAAGCTCAATGGCGTCGAGAGTTTTGATCTTTTTCTTCGTTTGTTTGGCGGTGTGAGGTTTTGCGTTGTCTTGTTGCTGGAGTACGCGCTTTCGATTGATCAAAGCAGGATATTTTTTTGCCAAGCGCCGCATACATTCATTCGAGTTGAGCGCAGTAGAGGTCTACTTGGTGATCCGACCATTTGGAACCAACTCGAAAATTCGTCGTGTTTTGTAAACGTCCATCATGGCTTTACGAAGGCTTGGCGGCGGCTTGAAATTTGGTGCGCAATAGCAGCAATGCCATGAATTTTTACGCGACAAATCCACATTGTTTTCCCGGCAAACTGATGCGCACTTTTGAAAAAAAGTAATACAATATGTTTTGCTTTTTACCAGGCCGGGCCTTGGGCTCGAGAGATCTTTGGTTCGGACACCGTTTCAGCCGGAATATAGCCTTGGGTAACCCCTTTGACTGATTCCTAAAACACTCAACTGTCGAAAGGCCCGACAACCCAGTAACGAGACGAGACGCTCAAGAGTCAAGTGATTTATTCTGTGGAAAGGAGGGATTTTATAGGGAAGCCACACGTAGGAAAGTACAATCAAATTTGAATAAATGTAGATCGTTTCTCGTGGGAAATCCTCGAAGCTCGGTCGTTCCGCCTCACGCCAACCGAATAACAACACTCAATAACAAATATCACCTGGTTTATCCGCCTCAATCCGATCACAATATCAGCAAGTAAATAACGTATCAGATTCTATATCACCGACGGACCTCTAGCCTGAGCGGTCCTCGACTCTTCTCGGCTGCTTCTCCTGCGTGTAATCTCCAACTAACTGTCCAATTGTCCCCGTTCTTCATCTTTCAGCGGCTTGCGACGGAATGCCAAGGTTAGCAATCTGATCGATTCGGGACTCAGCGGCAGTCCAAGTGTTTTCTGGGCGGCGACGGTTCTACTCGCCACGTTTAGGTCAAGCACATGCATATGACTTTTGAAAATAAACTACAACACCTCTGTTCGTAGATGGCTTCAAACCCCCGTTTAAACATGCAAATCTCCAGCGACAAGAGCAACTGTCACTTTTGGGTCGATCTGATTTCCCAGGTATTTCGATAGAACTTGCCGCTGCTCTTTTCATTCCACGATTATTTTCATGGCCGTTTGACTTTTAAAAGTCTCGCAGTTCATCTGTAGTACATTATATATTACGTATTACTACCCCACAAAAGAAGATATTCCCCGTAAGTCGGCGAGATGACGGACCGGACGGATTCGATTGAATCCACAACTTCGCAAGTCCATCGACAGCCCCGACATTCCCAGACCAGGCCCTCGATTGTGTCGCGGATTTCGATGGCGTCCGCCAAGCTCTCGGTCGTGTCGTTCGAGCCGACCCAAGCGGACGAAACCCCGTGGCCCTCGATCTACGTCATGTCGGGGTTGGCCTGCTGTCAGGCCATCCAATTCTCCATGTATTTCACTCCAATGTGGCCCTATTTGAACATGGTAAATATATCTTTAATGCAGTCTACAAACATGGCAATTGCTGCTACATATATCAGTCTGTCGGGAAAATAATGCCCGCTCTGTCGCATTGAAAATCGTGTCGCTGAAGTGAGAAAAAAGATTGATTTTGTCGCGACACAATTCATTTTTTTCGCTGTGACAGAGTGCCCATTATTTTCCCGACAGACTGGTGGTATATATCAGTCTAAACTTCAACAAAAAAAGCAATTTTCAGCTTGACCCCGACGCTTCAATTGTCTTTTTCGGCCTGATTATTGCCGCCTACAGTTTCGGCCATCTTGTGTCGGCCCCATTCTTCGACAAATGGCGTCAAGAGTCGAACGCTTTACGGCCCATTCTTTTGGCCTGTCTGATTATAATGTTTATCGGTCATTTGATCTATTTTCTGGCCGCCTCACTCGGAGAAAATGCAAAATGGGCGATTTTGGTGTCGCGCGCGATCGTCGGGACCGGAGAATGTGGGTATAATAGGCGCAATTTTGATATTAAAATTGGAGTCAACGCCAATTTTCAGCGTCGTTAACCATTTTTCAAAGCTACGCGGCGTCCTCAAGCCTGCCGCAGGATCGACCCAAAGCCATCGCCATTTCCACCACCGGCTTGGCGTTCGGAGGATTCGTTGGGCCCTGTAAGTCTGCTATGCCCTTGGAAATATACCTGACATAAATTGCTGAATATTTAGGCTCGCGCCCTACACGGACGGCCGAGATATTCGACGGTCCTTGCGGCCGACAGAGTCCGCGAAACGCGGAGGTCGTTCGGAAAGAAGAAAAGACTTTTGGCCCTATATTCGCGAGTTTTGTGCGGAAAAATCGGCTTTTTTGAAAACATTACACTACGGTCTCATCAAAATCTTGGCTTCGCACTTTTGGCACTTCTTTTGTAAGAGATTGAATTGAAGAAAAAATCGCCACTTCAAGTTTTACATACCAAGAAATCTCAAAAAATCCACCAGTCTGTCGGGAAAATAATATGATTCGTCGCGTCCTGAAATCGTTCTACAACGGTTTTGCGACGGCTGGCTGGAGGTTTTTTTGCTGCGACGAATCCACAATATTTTCCCGACAGACCGATAAATCCACATTATTTTCCCGACAGATCAATAAATTCACATTATTTTCCCAACAGACTCATAAATCCACATTATTTTCCCGACAGGCCGATAAATCCGCATTATTTTCCCGACAGACTCATAAATCCACATTATTTTCCCGACAGGCCGATAAATCCACATTATTTTCCGGACAAACTCTAGCCAGTTGAAATCGCTTTTTTTCAGGCCTTCAACTCGTCTTCTGGCTTCTCGGTGAAGACGGACTCCAACTGACCGAAAACTTACGTCTCAACATGTATACAGCCGGCCCCATCGTATGCTGCGCGTTGAATGTCATCGGGATCTTCTTGGTTCTCTTCGTATTCGAGGAATGTTACGTCGACCGAATGCATGCGGATATGCTGAAGGAAAACGAGCTGGTAGTCATGCCATACGACCGGTGGGCTTGCGTCGTATGCCTCTTGACGCGATTTGCGCAGTTATTCGCGTTCACGAATATGGAAACGTAGGTTTGGGAGAGGAGTTTTGGCCTGGGAAGCGTTACAAGTGCGACGCTCAGATTTGTTTAAATTTTTTGCACAGATGTTGGGCATGGGTGACATATCAATTCCTGAAAGTTTAGCTCGCACTTTGCAGAGAAAGCTGAGATATTCAACGATTTTTAAGGCCGAGAAAGTATGCGAAATGAGTAGAGCGGTCGGAAAAAAGATGCTTTTGGCCATTGCTTAGCTAGTTTAGCGTAAAAAAATTTATTTTTTTGTGGAAACACTACCCTCAACGGTAGAAATAGATACTAAACTTTTGAAACCTAACTTTTACAAAAAACTCCACATTTTTTTAATCTTTTTTTTGCATAAAAATATAAAAATCTCGTCCGTTTCGGAAAAATCCGAGCGTCGCACTTGGAACACTGCTGCTAAGTCGTATCATTAGCATTTTCAAAAAGTGCACGGGCATTTAGCCGCGGCCGGCACCATCCACAAAAGACCCCATTCTGCACGGTGCATTCTACTTTTTTTGCAAGCGGATTTTTTGTGGCTTGCACTGTGCAAAATGATAAAAGAGAAAAATGCACTGTGCTTTAGCGACAAGTGTACAAAAAGGTTCAAAATGCACTGCGAAAGAGAAAAAATGTCCATGCACTTTACAGCATACTGCTAATTGTATGCTCTTCAGAATTGGCGCCATTTTCATCATGACAATGTTCGCTATGAGCCGAGTTCACACGGTACTCGCCATGGTCGTCGCACAATTTCTGATCGGCCTTTTCACCGTCGCCATTCACAACTTGTACACCTTTTTCGACGTGGAAAAGTGGGCCAATCTGCGGCAAATTTGCATCTCCGCCGTGTCCGGCTTCTTCGTCTTCTACCTGGTCACCTACACTTGGCCCTTCCTCCCGGGCCACATCCAATTTTACGCCGAAAATGCCACCAACTTGTCGCAACAAAACGTTGGCTGCGACGCCGACTTGTACGGCTGGTGCGAGATTGTGTCGCCAATCAACTTCTGGCTGTACATGGTCGCGTTCACGGCGGTGTTTGGGTTGTGCATGCCGAACATGAACTTGGCGCTGGGCACGCTGTTCCTGCGGATTTTGGGGAACACGCGACAGGCGCAGCCGCAGAGCTGGTTCCTGTTGAGTGGGTCGGCTGGACGGATCATGGGACCGATCTTGTTGAGGTAGGTTGGAAAAGCGAGAAAAATTACATACTATCAGTCTGTCGGGGAAATAATGTGGGTTTATTAGTCTGTCTGGAAAATAATTTGGTTATATCCGTCTGTCGCGAAAATAATGTGGATTTATCATTCTGTCGGGAAAATGATGTGGAGTTTTTTTGTCTGTCGGGAAAATAATGTGGATTTATAGGTCTGTCTGGAAAATGGTGTGGAGTTTTTAGTCCGTCTGGAAATAATGCGGATTAAAAATTCTGTCTGGAAAATAACGTGGATTTTTCCGCAGCAAAATGTTTTGCCTCGCCGCAGTTGCTCACCAAGTGTCTAATCGCGGAGAGATCCATACCGCAACCATTTTGCATTATTTTCCAGGCAGAGTGATAAATCCACATTATTTTCCAGACAGACTGAAAAAATCCACATTATTTTCCCGACAGACCCATAAGTCCACATTATTTTCCCAACAAACTGAAAAATCCAGTTTATTTTCCCGACAGACCAATAAATCCACATTATTTTCCCGACAGACCAATAAATCCACATTATTTTCCCGACAGACCAATAAATCCACATTATTTTCCCGACAGACCGATAAATCCACATTATTTTCCCGATAGACCAATAATGTCATGTCTTTGCACAGTGCAAAAGGTCGAATTTACAGTGCGAAAATTTGCGACGAAAAGTCTACGCACTTTATGAAAACGGTAAAAGTAAAATTTCAGCCGCCTCTTCACCATGTTCGGCCCGCAGTTGGCGTGGCTGTTGGAGATGATTGTGCTGGTCATCGTGCTCATCTTCTGGTTCGTCTTTTACACACGAATGATTCCGGCCAAGATCTTCCGCCGACCCACCTTCAAAATGACCAGCTTCAAGTTTGTGGCGGAGTAATTGTAAAAATGAACAAATATGTTGGAATAAACTGTATTTTTTGAGCCTGTAATGAATAAGTGAAGAAAAGTTGCTTGAGGAAACGAAAAAAACTTGATTTTTTTGGCATTGTGTTTCAACCAAAAAATTGTCTTCGACCAAGAAAGATTGGTCGATTTCTAGGGGAAAATTTGGTCGAATTGTGAAAATTTTTATACCATTCGAAAGCCCTAGTCATACTCTAGTTAAGTATTATCGATTTTTTCAATGCTTTGTTGATATCCACTATCTTCTGGCCGAATTAAAAATAGGTCTAAAAAATTTCGATTTCGGTTGATTTCTAGTGGAAAACCTGGTCGAATCGCTGAAATTTTTATGCCGTTCGAAAGCTCTAGTCTTGATCTAGATGACTATTAACCATTGTCTCTTTGGGAGATCTTCTGTATTTTCTGGCCGAATCAAAAATGGGTCCTAACATTTTTAGATTTCGGTCGATTTCTAGTGGAAAACCTGGTCGAATTGTGGAAATTTTTATATGAATCCAAATCTCTACTAATACTCTAGTTTGGTATTATATTTTTTTTCAATGCTTTATTGATCTTCACTACTCTTTGGCCAAATCAAAAAAGGGTCCAAAAAATTTTTAATTTTGGTCGATTTCTAGTAAAAAATCTGGTCGAATCGTTGAAATTTTTATACCATTCGAAAGCCCTAGTCAATGTATGGTTGAATATCATAGAATTTTTCAAAAATCCATTGATCTTCCCTATCTTCTAACCGAACCAAAAATAGGTCGAAAAATTTTCGATTTCGGTCGATTTCTCCAAAATTTTTGTCACTATCATCGATTTCACACTTTGTATACATAGTGCAGACCATGACAAATTTTTTGACACCAAAATCAGAAAAATCGGCCAAACCAGTTCCGAGATATCAGTCTGTCGGAAAAATAATGAGCACTCTGTCGCTGCGTCCATCGCGTCGCCAAAGTGAAAAAAAATTCAATTTCACCGCGACTAATTTAATTTCCTAAGCGTTCATGCGATTTTCGATGCGACAGAATGCTCATTATTTTCCCGACAGACTTATTGAAAATCTCCTCCTTATACGTGATATCTCGCTTTTTTTGACCTCGTCCAAAACCAATTTTTTTTGTGTTGAAAGAGGCTACGGTTGAGCGCAAAACCTCGACGTACTACGATTTTTTTCCTCGCATGTTGAGCTCTCTAAAATTTTGCTTTTCGCGGCCGAACCCATAACAAAAAGAGGGCTCTTTTGGGGTTTCTCCATTTCTTGGGCAGAAAACCCCACTGAAAATCCGATATTTGTGAGAGAAAAAGACGAAATGAGAAATCGACTGGGGGGAGAGAAGACCAACTTACTCGTCATGACATCCATCTTTGTTACTTTGGGAATCTTTTTTGGGGTGCTTCAAATTTTTGCACTGTGCAATTTTGAAGGGTAAAAAAGCCTAGGATTTTGCACAGTGCAATTTAATAGGGCAAAAAAGCCTATGGTTTTGCACAGTGCAATTTCGTGGAGTAAAAAAACCTATGGTTTTGCACTGTGCATTTTCACAGGGCAAAAAAGCCTATGGTTTTGCACTGTGCAATTTTGTAGGGTAAAAAAGCCTAGAGTTTTGCACTGTGCAATTTCATAGGTTAAAAAAGCCTAAAATTTTGCACTGTGCAATTTCGTAGAATAAAAAAGCCTAGGATTTTGCACTGTGCAATTTTGTAGGGTAAAAAAGCCTATGGTTTTGCACAGTGCAGTTTCATAGAGTGAAAAAGCCTATAATTTTGCACTGTGCATGGGTTTTGGTGAAATAATTACTAAAAAGAATAAAAACTAGGCTCCCAAAAATGCCAGCTGTAATTAATTGAATATACTTCGGTCTAGGGTTTCTTTTTGGAGTTTGTTTGTTTTGGATTTGTCCCGTTTTTCACGTTTTCCGTCAATTTTTCTTTAGGGCAGACGCTCTTTTAATCAGCTTTATTTGAAATTTATTGTCAACGGAGGAAATTATTAATAATAAATTTATTTTTTGCTTTCTATTTTTATTTTTTGAATTACAATTTAAGACATTTTTTATAATGTTTTTAAGTGTTTTGTTTTATTTTAATATTATTTTATTTTTTTATTTTTTTAAAGATTTATTATTTTTAAGATTTAATGCGGCTTTAATTTTAGGTTCATTTTTTGTTATTTTTTTATTGTTTATTATTTTTTCATTTTATTTTTTAATAATTTTTTTACTTATTTATTTATCCTGTTTTTTCTGTTTTCATTTTTATTTTATTTGCTTTTTTTATTTTATCTTTTTTGTTTGTTTTTAATTTAAAGTCGTCTGAAAATTTTAGACGATTTTTTAATATTTTTTTTTGTTTTATTTATTTTTTTTTTGTTTTTATTATTATTTTATTTGCTTTTTTTATTTTATTTTTTTTTGTTTTTTTTTATTTAATGTCGTCTGAAAGTTTTTGGCGATTCTTTAATACTTTTTTTTTGTTTTCATTTTTATTTTATTTGCTTTTTTATTTTATTTTTTTTTTCGTCTTTTTTATTTAAAGTCGTCTGAAAGTTTTAGGCGTCTTTTTAACAATTTTTTTTTTTGTTTTACTTATTTATTTATTTTTTTTTTGTTTTCATTTTTATTTTATTTGTTTTTTTTTTATTTTTTTATTTCCCCAATCCGTATTTTACAAAAAAGTCTAAACAATCTCACAACATTTTCCGTCAAGTTTAAGCTAATTTGTTTCCTCCCCCGCCCTCGTGATGTCGTTTTATTGCCTTTTGGGCAAGTTTTTGAGGCCGGCATTATTGGATTTTGTTTTGGAAAAGCCCTGAAGACCCAAAAGAATATTTGTCATGCCTTTTTTTGCAGACAACCGTTTTTGGTATGGGATATTTGGTATATCTTTTCGCCTTTTCTGTTTTTTAGGCATACATGGAGGGATTCGAAATTTTTTTGGAAACTGAGGTTTTCATGGGATTTTTGAAGAATTTTTGGGATTTTTTTGAATAAAAATGAGTATACTATTGTGATTTATTTTTATTTGGATGCTTGAAATCCTTGCACAGTGCAATTTTATAGTGCAAAAAAGCCTATAGTTTTGCACTGTGCAATATCATAGTTGAAAAAAGCCTATGGTTTTGCACTGTGCGATTTTATAGTGTAAAAAAACTACAATTTTGCACTGTGCGATTTCATAGTGCAAAAAAGCCTATGGCTTTGCACAGTGCGATTTCAAAGAAATGTTTTTCTTTTGGAAAAATCTGGATTTTAAAAAATTTTTTTTATTTTAGGTAATTAAAATCTTTTTCAAAAAGGGTCTAAAGAAATTGTAACATTGTTTTGTCGTATTTTACAAAAAAAATCTTTTTTCATCCGAAAAATCTCAAAATTTCCTCCAAAATTTTTGAGCATTTGCCCCCAAAAAACTGCTTTGCTCAAAAAAACCCTCCTTAACTCAACGCGCCATTCTTTTTGGCACGCAAAATATTATATTCTTTTGGGTCCGTCAAAAAAGGGTTACTCTTTTTTTGTGTTTTCCCAGTTTTGCCCTTTTTCGATGGAATTTCTAAAACTTTTTTTGAGTTCTTGGGGGCCACAAAGGCAGATAGTGTTTTTTATTGGCTTAGCGACATGTTTTTAAAGCTTAGAAGGCAATTTTTGGTTAAAATTTGAAAGATTTTTGAATTTTTTGTCTTACCACGAAAACTTGAAAGTCGAAAAATGGACTATTTTGGCAAAAAGATATTTTAAAAAAGCCATGATGCGCGTATTTTAAACATTTTCCGGTCTTATTCATCTTCCAATTCCTCAGAATTACAATTTTTGGGTCTCACCACGAAAACTTGAAAAGTCGAAAAATGGATTATTCTTGATAAAAAACATAACAGAAAGTCTCGCGGAACGTATTTTAAACATCTTCCGGTCTTATTCATCTTGCAATTCTTCAGAATTTACAATTTTTTGGGTCTCACCACGAAAACTTGAAAAGTCAAAAAACTGGTGGTCTGAGGTTAAAAAACCGCTGATCTTTATTATAACCAATTTTTCACAACATTTCTTATTCAACACTTGTAGAAATTTGATAATTTAGCTGATTTTGGGTCTCACCACGAAAACCTGATGCTCGGAAAGATCAAGTTTTTTGCAAAAAAAATGTAATATCAAGCTTAGGAAGGGTGTTTTTAATATTTTCGAGTCTTATTCATCTTGTATTCCTTAGAATTTCATTTTTTACATCAATTTTTGGGTCCCACGACGAAAAACTGAAACTCGGAAAAATCGAGTTTTTCTAATAGAAACTGATGAAACCAAGCTTTGTGAAGGGTTTTTTTAAATATTTTCTAGTCTTATTCATCTTGTATTCCTTAGAATTTCATTTTTTACATCAATTTTTCGGTCCCACCACGAAAACCTGAAACTCAAAAAATTGAGATTTTCTTGTAAAAACTAATGAGGCAGACCTTCTGATGCACTTTTTTTCAATATTTTAATTTTTTTTGTCCCTAAAATTTTGCATATTTCCCCCATTTCCCCGCAAATCCCTTCATTTCACCAACTTTTGTACGCGAAATTCGGTCCAATTTCCCTCGAAAATCCGAATATTGCATCCAGTGGGCACACCATCGGCCATGTCATCCGCTGGGCTGGGTGTTCGCTTCAACGTTCATTGTCATTTCATTCGTCAATTCGAGTCGATTTTTGTGGTCGGAAACGCGGCCGAGCTGGGCGCCTGGAACCCGGACAAGGCGGTGGAGCTGGAAAAGGACAAAGTTGAAGGGTTGGTTTGAAGTTTTTTCGAGATTTTTTGCAAGTTTAGAGTGAAGTTGAAGCCGGGGGACGGCTTTTTGGAAATTAAAAATTTGCACAGTGCAAAAGCGTAGGCTTTTTTGCACTATAAAATCGCACTGTGCAAAACCATTGGCTTTTTTCCACTAGAAAACTGCACTGTGCAAAACCATAGGCTTTTTTCAACTATAAAATCGCACGGTGCAAAGCCATAGGCTTTTTTGCACTATGAAATTGCACAGTGAAAACTCTAAATTCAAATGTGAAATCGCAGATTTTTGTTTAAAAATTATTTTAAAAAATTTTTTTTTCAAAAATTCACAGGCTGAAAAAGGAACAACTTACTCGTTATGACATCCATCTTCGCTACTTTGTGACTTATCTTTTTCGGGGTGCTTTAAATTTGCTTCAAATTTTTGCACTGTGCAATTTCATAGTTCAAAAAAGCCTAGAATTTTGCACTGTGCGATTTTCTCGAAAAAATTCCGCACATTGCAAAATTTTTTTTGGCCAAAAAAATCTCAGATTTTGATGAAATTTGGGCCAGAATTAGTTTGCTATTTTACCAGAAATTTTTGACACGCTTATTTTTCGGCACTTTCCAAGATTTTTTCCGCCAAAAAATCAAAAAAAAATCTAAAATTCTCCCTCATTTTTCACTTTTTCCTCTAAAAATTTCTTTCCAGACGCTGGTCAGCAACCGTAAAATTGGTCTCAAGTCACAAGGAGCCGCTCAAGTTTCGGTATTTCATCGGATATTATCTACAATCCACTAATGATCCCGCGAGTAAATTGCGAATTGTCAGCCGATGGGAGGCTCAAAGGGTCCCTCGATCTCTTATTCCACCGACTGGGAGTGATGTTTTGGTGCAGAATCACGAATTTGGAACTTATGGTAGGTCGAGGGGGCGATGGAAAAGGTGTTTTTTGGCAATGGATACGTTTAGATTACTTTGAGGGTTTTGGATCATTTTGGATCACTTTTGAGGTTTTTGGATCACCTTTGAGGTTTTTGGATCATTTTTGAGGCCTTTGGATAACTTTGGATCATTTTTGAGGCCTTTGGATAACTTTGGATCACTTTTGAGCTTTTTGGAAAAATTTGGATCACTTTTGAGGTTTTTGGATAACTTTGGTTCACTTTTGAGGTTTTTGGATTACTTTGGATCACTTTTGAGGTTTTTGGATAACTTTAGATCACTTTTGAGGTTTTTGGATAAATTTGGCTCACTTTTGAGGTTTTTGGATAAATTTGGCTCACTTTTGAGGTTTTTGGATAACTTTGGACCACTTTTGAGGTTTTTGGATAACTTTGGACCACTTTTGAGGTTTTTGGATAACTTTGGATCACTTTTGAGGTTTTTGGATAACTTTGGCTCACTTTTGAGGTTTTTGGATAACTTTGGATCACTTTTGAGGTTTTTGGATAACTTTAGATCACTTTTGAGGTTTTTGGATAACTGTGGATCACTTTCGAGGTTTTTGGGTAACTTTGGATCACCTTTGAGGTTTTTGGATTCTTTTTGCGGTTTTGAATACGATATTATAACGATTGACCATTTTTATCTTCTGTGTTCTTTTTTTTTAATAGTGGATCACGTTTGAGGTCCGTTGGATACCTTTTCATCACTTTTGAGTGTTTTGGATACTTTTTGAGGTTTTTGATTAGGTCAGAAGAAACTTTAACTCTTTTTATCATCTGTATATCTGTTTTGGAGCGTTTGAAATGATGCTTCACTTAGAGGTTTTTTGGATACCTTTTGATCACTTTTGAGGCTTTTTGCAGGAATATTTATAGTAGAACGAATGTCCATGCACTTTATTTTTTTCGTTTCAGACGGGAAAAAGCTGATTTCGGATGGATGGCTGAACCACCAATCCCAGACGGAAGTGCGCCTGTTCATGTACGACAACTGCATGACATTCTACAAGGATCGGCATCAACAGCGCCAATACCACATCAAAATCACGCCATTCGACCTGCGGCGCAAAGAAGTGAGTTTTTTTTTTTTTTTTTTTGACTTACTCACTAAAACAAATGGGACAAAAACCCCTCAAATTTCAGGAGTATAACCCCTATAACAGAGCGCAGAAAGGCCGGGGCCTGTGGCGAATGTCATCGGTCTTCATGCAAAGCGTAATAATGTTGTGTAGTCGTAGTTGTGTAGCCCGTATTTTAGGAGGAAATGGGGGGTTGACGAAAATTTTTAGCCAATTTTGCTTTCAGATGGGCAGCTTTGACATTGATGAGCCGGAGGACAAGGACGCCAACGCCTTTCTGCCGGCGTTGCCGAGCTTCTCGCCCACGGAATTGGCGGTAAGAATGTGAAATACGGCCTAAAATACGGATTTTGAATTTTGGGATTTTTTGAATTTTTTTGAGCTAGAATGGTCGGGAAATGATTTTAATGTGATTCTTAGGCTTTTTTAATTGATTTTTGACGATTTTTTTATAAAATACGGCCTAAAATACGGATTTTGAATTTTGCGATTTTTCGATTTTTTTTTTGAGCTAGAATGGTCGGAAATAATTTAAATGTGATTCTTTACTTTTTTAATTGATTTTTTTAATAAAATACGCCCTAAAATACGGATTCTTAAATATTGAGATTTTTTGGATTTTTTGAGTTAGAATAGTCGGAAAATATTTTTAATGCTGTTTTTAACTCTTTTTACTTGACTTTTGACGATTTTGTGTAAGATACGATCTAAAATACGTATTTTGAGATTTGAGATTTTTTTAATTTTTAAATTTTGGTTCGATTTTGAATGGTCGGAAAATATTTGTAATGTGGTTTTTAGCCTTTTTTATTTGATTTCCGATGATTTTTTTGTAAAATACGACATAAAATACGATTTTTGAATTTTGGGATTTTTTGAATTTTTTGATTCAGAATGGTCGGAAAATAATTTTAATGTTATTTTTAACCTTTTTTGTTTGATTTCCGATGATTTTTTTATAAAATACGACGTAAAATACGGCTTTTGAATTTTGAGATTTTTTGAATTTTTGATGTCAAAAATTACAATATGGACTTGAAAACATGCCCTGGGCCGTGTTTGTTTTCATTTGCATAATTCTTGAGCTAAATTCCCACATAAAATACGATATCACACTTGACAAGATTCCAAAAAAATTTTTTTTTTGTTTTAGGTCCTCTCAACTCACGACGCCGCTCCAACATTTTCCGACCAAAAATCGACCGGTCAACCCTATCACAATCCCTCCAGCATCTTCATCTATCGCACGCAATCCATAGCGCCCGATTTTTTGGTGAGTGCTTTGCACTGTGCAGTTCATTTTTTTCGTTTCGCACCGTGCATTTTGCTCGAAAATTTGCACAGCGCAAACGGCTTTTTTGGTGGTTTGCACTGTGCGTGAGATTGCACAGTGGCGAAAAGAGTGAAATGCACTGTGCGTTCGCGACAAGCGTGGGAAAAAGCTGAAAATGCACTGTGCGTTGGCGACAAGCGTGAGAAAAAGTTGAAAATGCACAGTGCGTTCGCGACAAGCGTGTGAAACAGCTGAAATTTGCACGGTGCAGGCAGCTTTTTTGGCGACTTGCACTGTGCGTGAGATTGCACAGTGCAATTTTGTTTTTATTTTTTGCATTTTGTCGCGGTCCGCACTGTGCACAAAAAACCTCCATTTTGCACCGTGCATTGCCTTGTTTTTTGTCGTTTGCACGGTGCGAAAAGAGAAAAGTGAAAATGCACTGTGCGTTGGCGCTAAGCATGGGAAAAGGCTCACAATGCACTGTGCGAAAGATTTTTTTGATTTCGCACCGTGCATTTTGCTCAAAAATTTGCACAGTGCAAACGACTTTTTTTTGCTTGCACTGTGCGTTGGCGACAAGCATGGGAAAAAGCTGGAAACGCACTGTGCAAACGTTTTTTTTTTGGTGGATTGCATTGTGAGTGAGGTTGCACAGTGCAATTTTGTTTTTCTTTTTGAAATTGTCGCGCTCCGCACAGTGCACAAAAAACATCCATTTTGCACCGTGCATTGCCTTGTTTTATGTCGTTTGCACGGTGCGAAAAGAGAAATGTGAAAATGCACAGTGCGCCGGCGACAAGCGTGGGAAAAGGTTCAAAATGCACTGTGCGAAAGAGACCTTAGTCATTGTGCAAATTTGAGGGCAAAAATTTATAAAAAATTTAAAAAAAATGCAAATTTTAGGCCTTTCGAGTGGAACTTTTCACCGAACAACGTCCCAAAAAGCCCTCCCAGCCCCCCACAATCGACGAAGACCAGGTGTGCAACAGCGACGCGTTGGCGTCGATTGGGATCTCGAACGCGGCGCACAACGCCCTCCTCCAGGAGCACAGTTACGACGCGAAAAAGTCGGTGAAAATTGAGCGCGTCGGCATTGCGTACGTCATGTTTTCGGCGCGAATGGACACTTGCGGCCAGCATCAGGTCCCAATCTTGGCCAAAAACCAAATGCCAATCGGGCAGCTGAAAAGTGAGGCTTTCGTGGTGGGACCGAAATTGCTTTTACTAAAAATGTTTTTTTGCTTTTTTATGAAAAATTGCAAATTTTAGTGGACTATTTGCTGATCAAATCGCTGGGATATGACCTGAAGGTGCCCTTAACCATGGAACATTGTTATACGAGGCATTGGAAGAAGAGAAAAACGGTGGAAGTGGGCCACAGAGGCTTTGGCAATTCGTATACCAAGTAGGTTTGGGTGGAAAAATCCTTACCCTGAATGACTTATAGATGTTTTGGATTTTTCATTGTCAAAAAGCATATTTTTCAACAGTTTTCTCCAAAAAATTAACATTTTTCTAATAAAAATGAAAAAATAGCAAATTTTTAGTCAAAAAACCAAATTTCATAGTCTGAGATGCTTTGTAAAACAATATGCAACAAAAACAGACTATCTAAAATACGATTTGAATTAAGAAAATTACCAAAAAAACCCCAAAAAAACCACTAGGTCCCGGCGGGGGTCGAACCCGCAATCTTCTGATTAGAAGTCAGACGCGTTATCCATTACGCCACGGGACCACGGTAGGAGTCCCTCTTTTTCTCTTCTTCAAACAAATCGTCGGGCAAAGGGAGAAGAGAGAAGCGCTTTTTTGTGACAAAAGGAATATTTTTTTGGAAAAAACGTCTGAAAAGTGAATTTATATAATGTTTTGGAGATCGGAAAATATTCGTAGGCTGTTTTCAGGCCATAAAAATTATGAAAATCGTGTTTTTTGCACTGTGCAAAATTGTAGGGTAAAAAAGCCTATGATCTCGCACTGTGCGATTTCATAGTGCAAAAAAGCCTAGAATTTTGCACTGTGCAAAATTTTAAAATTAATTTTTTTTTTGCACCGTGCAAAATTATGGTTGAATTTAGCCTATAATTTTGCACTGTGCAAAATTTTAGTTGACAAGGAAAGTACTTTTATGGGGGCTCCTACTTTTTGACGGGACATATCTCAAAAAATCAGAAAAAATGTGCTGATCAAGGATATAAATCTTAGCTGCCCATTTTAGGTTTTTAGGGGTGAAAATGCCCAAAAACTGGCTTAATTTCCCTACAAAAGGCGCAGGCATTCGAAACGATAAAAAGCGCACTCGGTCTCTTCCTTCGGAAGAGAGCGGTGTGGCCGAGTGGTTAGTGCCGCAGTCTGGGATTCAAGAGGGGGAATGCCGCACGGGTTCGATTTCCCTTTTGGGCTGAATCAACTTTTTTTGAAGTTGAAGGTCGGAAAAATAAATTTTTGGACCAAGACTGTCTTATTACGTCTTAGAAACTCAACAAACACCATTCTAAGCCAAAATAAAAATTGTAAACCCGTGAAAAATTAAGCGAAAAGGGGTTCATATAGGACTTTAAGTCAACTTCCGATTGAGTTTTCACCCCTAAAAACCTAAAATGGGCAGCTAAGATTTATATATCCTTGATCAGCACATTTTTTCTGATTTTTTGAGATATGTCCCGTCAAAAAGTAGGAGCCCCCATAAAAGTACTTTCCTTGTGAAAAAAGCCTATGATATTGCACCGTGCAAAATTTTAGGGTAAAAAAGCCTATGATCTTGCACTGTGCGATTTCATAGTGCAAAAAAGCCTATGATTTTGCACCGTGCAAAATTTTAGTTGAATTTAGCCTACGTTTTTGCACGGTGCGATTTCATAGTGCAAAAAAGCCTAGATTTTTGCACTGTGAATTTTAAAAAAAAATTTTTTTTATTTCTTTTTAATTAAAAATTTTTTGTAGGACCTCCACAGTACGTGAAAACACAATCCATTCGCTGAGTCACGCCTCGAAAAAAGGCGCGGATTACGTGGAATTCGATGTCCAGTTGACCAAGGACAAGATTGCCATCATCTTCCACGACTTCCATGTGCTCGTCGCGGTGGCGAAACGATCCACATGCTCGCCGGGCGCTAATTTGTCGAAGGAAACGGAGGCGGCGGCGGTTGGAACGAGTGGGCCGCAAAGGCCAAGTTTAGGTCTCCAGAATGCGATGAGCGATTATCATGAGATTGCGGTCAAGGATTTGAAATTGCAACAACTCAGGCTGCTTCATGTGAGTTTTGGAGGGAGATGGGGGCATTTTTGAAAAAAAAAAAAATTTTGATGTTTTTGGCAAAAAAATCTCGGCGATTGCCCAAAATGGCATGTTAAAAACTTCTAGTAAAATTACGACCTAATTTTTTACCCAAGTTTCATCAAAATCTAACATTTATTGGCCAAAAAAATTTTGCACAGTGCACTGTGCGAAAATCTAGGCTTTTTTGCACTATAAACTTGCACTGTGCAAAATTCCCTCAAAATTTTTGTAAAAATTGATTTTATTTATGTCGGTTTGAGTTCAGAAATAAACATTTCCATCTGTTTACTTCCACAGATACCTCAAAAAACACGACTGCCAATTCAAAAATCGCAAAAAAACCACTAGGTCCCGGCGGGGGTCGAACCCGCAATCTTCTGATTAGAAGTCAGACGCGTTATCCATTACGCCACGGGACCACGGTTCAATTTTGGCTTATTTTTGATCAGGGAAGTGGGGGAATTGGTTGGTATAGTATAAAAGAGTAATCAAAAAAATTTTTTTTGATTTTTTTATTAGAATTTTTTAAATTAAAAATTTTCTGGAAAAAATTTTTTTTGAAAAATGAAAAAATTTTTTTTTAAAAAAAAGCAAAAATTTTTTAGGTCGAGCACTATCAGGCCCAGGAGAATCGAAACATGCTAAAAGTGACCGGAGACCCCGACGAATCCGACGACCATAGGCCATTTCCCACTCTGGTGGACGTTTTGAAACGGGTACCCGTGGACACGGGCTTCAACGTCGAAATCAAATACCCCATGGAGCTGGCGGACGGGGAACATGAATGCCGAAATTATTTCGAACGCAACGAGTTCATCGACCGCATCCTCAAGGACGTCATTGAGAATGCGGGAGCGCGGCGGATTGTGTTCTCGAGTTTTGAACCGGATATTTGCTCAATGTAAGCGAAATGCTTGCACGGTGCAAAATTCTAAGCTTTTTTTGACTAGAAAATTGCACGGTGTGAAAAAAGAATCGGTCGGAAAAATTTTTTTTTTGAATTATTTTTTTGCACTGTGCAAAAATGTAAGCTTTTTTCAACTATGAAACTGCACAGTGCGAAAATCTAGGCTTTTTTCAACTAGAAAACTGCACTGTGCAAGGTTATTTAGAGCAGAGAAATTTGCACGGTGCAAAAATATTTTTGAATTATTTTTTGCACGGTGCAAAATCGTAAGCTTTTTTCAACTAGAAAACTGCACTGTGCAAAATTCAAAAATAATTTTTCGAGCTATTTTTATGCATTACGGATATTTTGAGTTTTTTTTTCACCAAAATTTGCACAGTGCGGAAAATTTTTTTGAAATTTGAAAAAGTTCCGAAAAATTTTTTGCACGGTGCAAAATTGTAAGCTTTTTTCAACTAGAAAACTGCACAGTGCAAAGTTATAGGTTTTTTTCTACTATTAAACTGCACTGTGCAAAAATCTAGGCTTTTTTAAACTAGAAAACTGCACAGTGCAAAGTTATAGGCTTTTTTCTACTATGAAACTGCACTGTGCAAAAATCTAGGCTTTTTTTCAACTACAGTACTGCACTGTGCAAGATTCGAATTTTTCTTTTGAGCTAATTTTTATTCATTACGGATTTTTTAAGCCTTTTTCTTCAAAAGTTTTGCACAGTGCAAAAAAAAATTTTTTTTTTTTGAAGCTTGAAAAAATTCCGAACATTTTTTTTGCACAGTGCAAAATTCTAGGCTTTTTTCAACTGTGAAACTGCACTGTGCGATTCAAGTAAAATTTTGAAAAAAAAATTTCAGTTTTTTTTTTTAAATTTCGTCCCATTTTATCTTTACTTTCATTTTCTTTCAGGATTGCCCGAAAACAGTGCCTTTTCCCTTGTTTATTCCTCTGCGTGGGCGCCACCAAGAGATATGTCCCGTTCACGGACAAAAGATCGGCCGATTCGATTGTTGCCGCAAATTTTGCCAAGTCCGAGAAGATTCTGGGCTGCAATTTCCATTCCGAGGAGCTGTTGCACGACCGCAGACCGGTGGAAAGGGCCAAAAGATTGGGCTTGGTCAGCTTTGTGTGGGGCGACGACTTGGATTCCAAGAAGAATATTGACTATTTTCGCCGTGATCTGGCAGTGGAAGGGATCATATACGACAAGTGAGTGAATTTGAATTTCATTTTTTGTAGTTTGTAATCAATTTATTACCAAAAATTGATGATTTTTTGATAAAAAAGGGGGAAAAGGCAGAAAATGTAGTTTTTTGGTAAAAATCAGCTGATTTATGGGTCCAAAAACTGAAATAAATTGTTCTAAAAATGTTTATGATAGCAGAATACCATGTATCTTACCAAAAAATTACACAAGAAAAAAAAATTTGCACAGTGCAAAACCATAGGCTTTTTTGCACTACGAAATTGCACTGTGCAAAATTCTCTAAAAAATTTTCTAAAAATTAATTTGACAAGGAAAGTACTTTTATGGGGGCTCCTACTTTTTGACGGGACATATCTCAAAAAATCAGAAAAAATGTGCTGATCAAGGATATATAAATCTTAGCTGCCCATTTTAGGTTTTTAGGGGTGAAAATGCCCAAAAACTGGCTTAATTTCCCTACAAAAGGCGCAGGCATTCCAAACGATAAAAAGCGCAGTCGGTCTCTTCCTTCGGAAGAGAGCGGTGTGGCCGAGTGGCTAGTGCCGTAGTTTGGGAATCAAGAAGGGGAACGCCGCACGGGTTCGATTTCGCTTTTGGGCTGAATCAACTTTTTTTGAAGATGAAGGTCGGAAAAATAAATTTTTGTGCCAAGACTGATTTATTACGTCTTAGAAACTCAATAAACATCATTTTAAGCCAAAATAAAAATTGTAAACCTGTGAAAAATTAAGCGAAAAAGGGTTCATATAGGACTTTAAGTCAACTTCCGATTGAGTTTTCACCCCTAAAAACCCAAAATGGGCAGCTAGGATTTATATATCCTTGATCAGCACATTTTTTCTGATTTTTTGAGATATGTCCCGTCAAAAAGTAGGAGCCCCCATAAAAGTACTTTCCTTGTGAAAAATAGGTCTCGGGAAAAAGTCTGGTTCCAAATGAGTTTTTGGATATTTTACTATCAATAATCGTATTTTTCAACAGTTTTTTCCCCAAAAAATCAATTTTTTCCAAATTTGAAAAAAAAATCCCGAAATTTTTGTCTAAAAACCAAAATTTATGGTCTTAACTGCTTTATAGAACAACATGAAGTTAATAACGACGGCCTAAAATACGACTCGAATTAAAAAATGGACAAAGGAAGTTCAGAAAAGCCACTAGGTCCCGGCGGGGGTCGAACCCGCAATCTTCTGATTAGAAGTCAGACGCGTTATCCATTACGCCACGGGACCACGGTTGCTGAAGGATTTGTTTTTCTTTCGGTTTTGGCGGGAGCCTAACTACTAGGCTTTTTGTGACTTTTTTGGAAAAAATTGGCAAAAATCCATCGAAATTTGAGATTTTTTTTGAAATTTTTGAAAAAAAATTTTTACTAGGGTATTTTGACGGGTAATTGAGATATTTTTGAGGTTTTTGAATCGATTTTTGGAGGGAAAATTTTGAGAAAAAGCTATTTTTTTTTATTTTTTTTTTGATTTTTTGAGCAAAAAAAATAAAAATCAAAAAAAAATTTTTTCAGAAAATAAAAAAATTTTTCCAGAAAACAATCTTTTTTTCAAAAAAATTCAATTTTTTTTTTCAGAATTGGCGAGATGGAAGAGCGCCAAAACGTGTTCATGGTGGAAAGAGAACAGCGAATCTCGCTGTTCCAATCACCTTCGCCGTCGCGGCGAGGCTCTTTGGACAACCCTCATCCCCATATAACGAATTCGGGGCTGAGAAGCATGTCGCAGGACATGAACGGGCAAATCGATCCGGAGATTCTGAAGAAAAAATGGCCAAAAGCGATGGTTGGAAGGTCGGATTCAGCGGGTTCCCCTAGTTCCAAGTGAAAAATGATGATTTTTTTGAGGAAATAAATTTAATTTTTGAACTTTTTGGGATTTTTTGTGGGAAAAAAGTAGTTTTCGAATGTGAAAAAAAGGATTTTATTAGGTTGTATAATATGTTATGACCATTTTCTTGCAAACGTTTGAAGTCGATTATTTCCTAGCTCAGATCCCTACTTAGTTCAACATACTTATAGACTAATAGAGGGCTTATCGAAGTTTCATCTAGTGCATATTGCAAAGTCTTACGGCATAGCCGCGATTTTCTATTGCTAAAAACTCGGAAGTGCCCCGATTTTGGCGGGGTACGAAACAACTCAAGTCACGTCTCTCTGCCAACCGCTGCTGGTCTCAGATTGGTGTTATTATAATCTTCAAGGGTCGGAAAAGACGCTGACACAGCATCGTTGCAAGGTAGCAGTGACAACTCATTTTATGAGCTGTTTTTCCGGAAGGTTACCGAAGCCGTCGCCTGAAAAAGCGTCTAAAAAGTTTAGCGCCCGGGGTTTCTATTGTCTATTGTTATAACTCGTAGTAATACGAGATCACATGCCTGTTGTCACACCAGACAAATTTTGGAGCATGCAATAATTGGAATCTCCAGAAAAATCTAAGAATTAGCAGAATTTTGGATCATCCAATTAAATTTCAATTTTTTAGAACTTAACAGCCGCAAACTCAAAGAACATATACTGTCGTTTTCGCCGAGGTATGTAGTGTATATAACCGCCAAAGACAGTTCCTCACAAGATGGCGCTAGCGCGTACTCAATAAAAGTTTTGAACTCTAGTCCAGCGGCCCTCAAAATGTAACGATTTTAAGGGAGTTCCTTATTGTCACCTGATACAAGCAGTTTCTGATTTGAGTAGGTTATCAAAAAGCAACTCATAAGTGACTCTTTACAGCTGAACCACGTTATTTAAGGTGAGATTAATTCGAAACGAATCAGGGTTCATAACAATGAAGGTATACCTCAATTTATATTTTGAATAGTAAAGCTCAGGTAGGGGAGGTAGAGTTGATCCAGCACAGCGTATGTAAAAGGGACGCCTCGAATGTCCTACAGAAGCATTGCCATTACTAGCCTCTCAGAATTCTCAGATTTAAGGCGTATTTTTGTTTTAGCTCCTTGGGATGCCCTCATTTCTTAATTTCTTTTCTCCGATGTTTTAGCCGGAGGCCGATGTGCTACTGGTTCCTGTAATCTACTGTCTCCACCCTACCCAGCGGTATGCTATTCAACTCTGAAAAAAGCATCATTAAAGTTTTAGGAATTTTAGAAAATTATGGTCATAACTTATTATACAACCTAATAGTTTATGAATGTATGAAAAAATTGGGGTTTTTAAAAAAAAATCAAAAAAAATTTTTTTTTTATTTTTTTATTTATTTTTATTTTTATTTTTTTATTGAAAAAGTACATTATTTCCACTAAAACACAATTTTTTCCCCATCAAAACGCAAGCGCATACGCTAAAAAACAAATTTTCTCTGACCGTCTCCCCATTCTCCACACTCTCTCGTCCAAAAACACCCTTAAATATCTCGACTCCCTTCCCAAGTTGACCGCCAAAATTTTCAACAATTAATTGCTAAACCCTGTAGATAATATATACCAAATTTGAGGTAAATCCGAAGCATTTAACTTGCCAATTTTTGTTAGTAATTTTTTATTCAATCTCCAATATAAATTAATGTTTTTGATCAGAGCAGCGTATCATGAACCTTTATGGGGAGTTGCGAGTAGTTTTGTTTGGCCATAGCGGGGCGCACCAGGGCGGCCGGACGATGAACGTAGTTGGGGAGGGCGCTAAAATACGAAAAAAATGAATTTTAGACCAAAAAACCCGGATTTTCGGGGAATTTTTGGGGTTTTAAGGTATTTCAAGATTACGTAGGCTTTTATTTTTGCTCCGTATGAGACGAAGAGATCATATACTTCATATGGAAAGCATAAAAGACCATTTTATTTGCTTTTTAATCCTCGAAAATTGAGAATTACTGAGAATTACCCAAAATCCGAGCTAAAACCCCGAAATTCGTCATTTTTCCCCGAAATTCGTCATTTTCTCGACTAATCTCAGCTGCCCACATCACTGGCCATCTTAGTACTTCTCCATCTTACCTTGACTTGCTGTCTCCCCGGCGTTTTTCGATGTCTTTTAGCTCTTGCAGCCGCTTCTCCCGCTGCAACAGCTCGATTTGCTGCGACTTGGCCTCCAATTCCTCGGCCAGCTTCCGGTTCTGCTTCAGCAATTGCAGCGCGGTGTTGGCGGGCTGATCCACGCTGGTGTAGTTGCCGTTTTCAGGGGGCTTCACGGGATTCCGGATGTTTTCATGCGACGGAAATCCCTTCTCCGATGACGTCATCAACGCGCACATTCGCCGATTCAACGCCGTGATTTGGGCGCGCTGGAAGTTGAGCTTTTGCTCGTGGACGGCGGAGTCCTGAAATATTTGATTTTCAAAAATAAAAAAAAATAAAAAAAAAATGAAAAAAAATTCAAAAAAATTAAAATTCAAACCTCAGATTTTTACAAAATTTGGCAAAAATCAAAAACTAAGCTTTTCTACGATATATAAGAGCTTTTTTCGTATCTTTTTCAACAAACCGACCAAGATTTTTCAGTCGAAAAAATCCCGAAAAATACTATTTTTTTCCGAATTTTCAACTAATTTTTTCTACTTCCTATCACTTTTCAGCCCTACTACAGTCATAGAAGTGATTTTCAGACCACTTTTAGCATTCTACAACAGCTGAAACAGAATGCCAAAAATTTTAAAAAATGGCGGGAAATTTGAAATTTTGACTTTTTACGTTACGCTATTGACCAGTAATGTCCCAAATATCATTTCTTTCCTTTACCATGGCTTTTTCTATACATATATCGATGTTATTTGAAAGAAAATCAAAAAATTCAATTTCAATTTTCACAATTTTGAGTATCAAAACATGTCGTATTTTACACCTACCAACGCGACCATGCCTTTCTTGAGCATTCTTTTTCTCTTCTCCAGGCTGTCCACTCTTTCGTCGTACCATTTCAGCAATTGTTTTGTGACTTCCAATCCCTTCTGCACTATTTTTCCCTCTTCCTTCAGGAGTTGCTCATGTTTTTCCTAAAAGTTGAAAAAATTTGAATTTCACTTCTTTCCATATTCATTACTTGGCCAAACGCCAAAAAACAATGCAATTAGAAGTATGTATGTCTCGACTTCCCAAATCTAATTACTACCTTGCTTGTGACCTACTCAGAACCCGCTAAATCTCATTAACAAAATTTTAAGCCTTTGGGTCATTGCTACCTAGAAATTAATGCAACAAGTACATCTAGAGTTGTTGTTTTCACGAGAATAACTCCGTGGTCAGACGCGAGAAGATTACTTTTTTATTCGATTAGCGTGTTACTCGGGATAGCACAGGTAATCTCAACGTAATATTTTTTAAAATTCCTCAAAAAATTTCGTAGCACAGACGCTAAGATTAGGTAAAACATATGCAACATTTACTGCGTCATGGGGTCTGGGAATCAGGTAATAATATGTTGTTAAAAGTATTAAATGTGAGCTTTAATCTCATCGGATTACGGTAACTTTGCGAAGAATACTACGGTACATATTTTACCTTCTTTTGAAGACAAAAAGGATTTACTGTCGGGGTTGGGGTGAGGTTTTTTTTGAGTTTAAGTGCCAAGATTTGACTGCTAAAAGAAGGGAACAAAGATGAGCCAAATGTCTGTCGTGGGTGGGGATTTGTAAGCTAGGTCTTTCTATATATGTGACATAAAAGAAGCAGGCTAGCATTGTCACGACTTCGCGTGCGAATTTGCATATTCCCACGGAATGACCGACAAATTGGTATAAAAGGAAGAGAAATCGCCAATTATTATGGGATTATTTTTGTGTTTGTTTTTCCCGGTTGGAAGTTGCAATAAATGGTATTTCTACTGTAGTCTATTAGTATTGTGTCTATGGTCAGCTCTTGTGAAGTTGGTTCCTCAAGTATTGTGGGTTCATTTGTGAAGTTGTTGCCTAGGGCATAGTTAGTTTGTATTGTCGCTCGTTTGTATAGTCGTTGTCGTTGTATTCGCATAGGGCTTGGGATCTTAGGTAGAACTAGATTAGGGACCCTTATTACTTGACCTCTACCAAGGTCTTGACAGCATATGTTATACTATCAGTTTTTCTGTAAACTAATGAGCCGCATCGAATATTCGCCGCGAAGAAAATAAATTGTGTCGCTGCAAAGTCAAATTGCTTCTAACTTCAGTCAACTGTACATTTTTTACCTCCTATTACTTTTTCAGGCCTAGCGCAGTGATTGCATTGATTTTCGGACAACTTTCGTCATTTTAGAGTGGATGAAACAGAATGCCAAAAAAATTTTAAAATGGCGGGAAATTTGAAATTTTGTGTGGTTATGTGACGTTATTGTCTAGTAATGTTTCCGGTAGAAACGCATCTATGCTCTCATCATATATACTATCTTTTATTATACATACTGTAGTTGACAGAGCTCGCATTTTCGTATTTTACTTTCATCATTTTTTCGTCCACGAAGCACTATATAGCAAAGTTCTTTTACAGTCGTTGAAGCAATTACTCAAACTTCCTTTCGACATAGGGTTTAAATGCCTTGCGGAAACCATGCTTTACATCCTATTACAAGTCTTAATTTTTAATTTCCTCTTCTTTCATCGCTGAAATATCAACTGTCTGTTTACAATATGTCTTCTAATTCGAATATGGTAGATACGGCATAAAACCCCGAGACGGATTACTTCTTCATTTATCGTATGTTCTGCGGACAGCAGTCAGCATTGATAGATGGTATAATGATTCATCATAGGTTTCGCAATTTTTAATTGGCCTTTATCGAATTTTGAACAGCACTCTTACGCCTAGAGTAAACCTTTTCCGAGTAAAGGAAGTGTTTCGTTGTCCCTTGCCGACGCTAGATCGTAATCTGTCAGCTTTACGGCTTTAATTTTATTTAGTGACCATCTGAAGCATGCCTACTTTATTTTCACCCATAATGCACTATTTCTTTCAGTCTACGCTGTGCGTCTCATAAAAAGCTTGGAATTTTGTAGCTAGCGCTATACAAGGCAGCTGAGATATTCAACCATCATTTGGTACGCGAGATGAGGAGATCAGCCAGCGAGAAAAACTGAAAATTTTTGGCCATATCTTTGCTAGTTTCGAACGGAAAGAATTGATTTTTTGTGGAAACATTACCCTCTACGGCAGAAATATGTAAGAAAAATGTCATGCTAAAATTCGAAAAATGTGTGCGACATTTTTTTCGTATTTTCAACCTAAAAATCTCATTCATTCTTGTGGAGCCAAGCTTGGACTTTCGCATATTTCTCAGACGAAATTTCGAAGCTTTTGCCAAGCCTCCTCAGAATCTGAGCATAGAATTTGGAGCATCAATATGTCGGGAAAATAAAGTGGATTCGGCGCACCTTCAAATTCCCTGTTGCCGCTGTCCGACAGAGCTGGAAATTTGGTGCCCGACGAGGCGTTTTTCTGCGATCATTCCACATTATTTTCCCGTCAGACTGATACCTGTCTTGTTGGAAAATATGTTCAAACTTGTGTTAACTTTCATTCAACTTTGCTTGACGTACCTTGAAATCATCGCTAGTCAGAAATCGTGGCCTAAAATCACTTCAAACTTAACTCAAATTCTCGGCTTATACAACTTCTCACACCTTTGAAAGTCATCCCCAAATGTTACATTTCCCGAGTTTCCCATGTGACTCACGCTTTCGGCGAATGAGCCACGAATTTGAATTTTTAAAAATAATTGTTTTTCAAGTCTTCCCTCGAACAAATGAGGAAGTTTCCAAACAAACACCGTGTGCGGAATATAATTTTAGAAGAGTTGAGGGGAAATTCCGAGAATCGCGGAATACTGTACGTTCTAAAAACAGGGCCTAGTGGTGTTTACAAGTTTCGACTAATTAGGAACGAATGTGTGGGTAATGTAATACAATTCAAGGTTTTCGGTTTCTGGGGGATTTACGGTCATGGGTTGGTGTGTCGGGAAAATAATGTGGATTTATTGGTTTGTCGGGAAAATAATGTCGATTTATCGGCCTGTCGGGAAAATAATGTGGATTTTTATAGTCTGTCGGGAAAATACCGTGGATTTATTCTGTTTGTCGGGAAAATAATGAGGATTTATCAGTCTGTTGGGAAAATAACGTGGATTTTTATAGTCTGTCGGGAAAATACTGCGGATTTATGGTTTGTCGGGAAAATAATGAGGATTTATAAGTTTGTTGGGAAAATAATGTGGATTTATTGGTTTGTCGTAAAAATAATATCGATTTATCAGACTGTCGGGAAAATAATGTGGATTTGACGCGGAAAAATGACTCGTCTCGTCTCCGTCGTTCGCCAATTCCCAGCTGCAGCTAGCCGTCAATGGGCGATTACAAGGTGCTAAGAATCCAAATTATTTTCCCGACAGACTGATATGCCGCCAAAGCTAACGTGCAATGTGCAATGAAAGTTGGGACAAATCTAGAATCATTTTTTTCTATCTCGGCTTCCCATGTAAATTGCAAGCTAAAATTTTGAGTAATTGATGTGGGGCCTATGTCCGAGCTCTGTGCAAAATTAGATAGAAATCTGAGCGTCACAGTTGGCTCAAGTACCTTATAAATTTGGCCTAGTTTTGACAAAATTTTACAAAATTTCGACCGATTTCCCGACCAATTTCTCAAAAAAACCCCTAAAATTTTTCATTATCCAAAATCCAGCACATGTTCATATTTTCTATTTTTTATATTTCCCTTCATTTTTTTACATTGCAAACCCTTCCAAATATAAAATTTTTAATAAATTTTCGCTCCTCCACTTCTTGTGTGTTCTACACTCTTCGACTTGTCTATGATTAACATTAATACATTAGTTTCTCCTCGTATAATCTTGCCTATTACCGTAATCTTGGCATGCAAGCGATTGCACGCCGCACATGACAAATGAAGTCATTCTTCCGCGAAACGGGTCGCCAAAACAATAAATTGAGCTATAGCTCGCCGATGGCGCCGCCCTTTCTATTATACGTGCCCCGCCGAATGCACGGCACGTAGAAACGGGGATTTGCGTGCTCGGCCCGAACAATTCAAATTTTTACGGGTGATATTTAAAAATTTTTTGGTTTGTCGCCGCTTCCCAGAAGGTTCTTTGAATTGGCAGGAAGTTTTGTAACAATGACGTGAAATGATACAATCGGACTACTGTATGGGTCTGTCTGGAAAATAATGTGGATTTATTTTTTTTGTCTAGAAAATAATATGGGTTTTTCAGTTTGTCGGGAAAATAATGTGGACTTATGGGTTTGTCGGGAAAATAATAAGGATTTATCGGTCTGTCGGGAAAATAATATGGATTTTTTAGTTTGTCGGGAAAAATGTGGACTTATGGGTCCGTCGGGAAAATAATAAGAATTTATCGGTCTGTCGGGAAAATAATATGGATTTTTTAGTTTGTCGGGAAAAATGTGGACTTATGGGTCCGTCGGGAAAATAATGTGGATTTATTTTTTTGTCTAGAAAATAATATGGGTTTTTCAGTTTGTCGGGAAAATAATGTGGATTTATGAGATTGCCGGGAAAATAATGTGGATTGATAAGTCTGTGGAGAAAATAATGTGGAACTATCAATGTGTCGGGAAAATACAATGATACCTGTCTTGCACCATCGTTTCTTTGCGAAGTCTAGCCGCGTCTGGAGATTTGGTGCTCGACTGCTGCGGCAAATCCACATTATTTTCCCGGCAGACTAATTTTTTCATAAAGTGCGTGCGCCTTCCGTCGCGGTTCGCACTGTGCACAAAAACCTCACATTTTGCACTGTGCATTTCATCTTTTTGTTGTTTTTGCAGTGTGCATCGAAATATCGCCGCGGTTTGCTCAAAAATTTGCAAGTGCAAACGGCTTTTTAGTGTTTTGCACCGTGCGAAAAGAGAAAAATGCACTGTGCATTGGCGACAAGGATGGGAGAAAGTTAAAAATGCACTGCCGGAAAGATAGCAAATGTCCATGCACTTTATGAAAATGCTATTCCTTCAAAATAGACCGCAACTTTTCCGTAATTCCGCAAAAAAATCGAAAAAAAAACTAAATTTACAATTCACGCAGTGAATTGCCAAATCCACTTTAATTTGTACAGCAATCTTGAGAACATGACCGGATTAACCGATCGCGTCCAACTACCGGGAATATTGCATAAAAAGACGCATGTTATTTTTGACGGAGCCTAATCCGCATGGCACGACAGGACGGATAAGGGAATTATGGGGGACTTGCATTTTCTAATATTTATTTGCGTATGAGACTTTCATACGATTATTAAATTGTTTTGGTTATTTTTACGGTTCTCAACAAGCTTTGATAATTGAATTTTTTCGCACAGTGCAATTTCGTAGGGCAAAAAAGCCTACGGTTTTGCACAGTGCAATTTCATAGTTGAAAAAAGCCTAAATTTTTGCACAGTGCAATTTCATAGTTGAAAAAAGCCTAAATTTTTGCACAGTGCAAATTTGTAGAGCAAAAAAACCTTGCAGTTTTGCACTGTGCGGATTCTTACTGCAATAAAATCCCAGCTTTTCGCACAGGCAATTTTGAAAGGAAAAGAAGCCTAAATTTTTGCACAGTGCAATTTTGTAGAGCAAAAAAGCCTATGGCTTTGCACTGTGCGATTTCATAGTGCAAAAAAGCCTAGATTTCCGCACAGTGCAATTTCATAATTGAAAAAAGCCTGAATTTTTGCACTGTGCGGATTCTTACTGCAATAAAATCCTAGCTTTTCACACAGTGCAATTTTTCAAATTAATTTTTTTTCCTACTCTTCAAACAGGTATAAAAACTCTATTTTTATGTAAGTAAAAGTGCATGATGTAACAAACCATAATGTTCCAGACTAATTTCTGAGCTCCGAGTCTTTTAACCGGCCATAAACTTTATGGGTTTTCCCACCTGAGCATATAGCAATTTAATTTTGTTACATTCCCACATCCAAAAATTGACAAGGACTACATTTTTTCATATATGCTCAGGATTCATTCGTCTAGCTCCGCATTTTATATAATATGGATATACGGTGGGCCGGCTGCCCAAGAGACCTAAAGTTCGTGCGTCAAAGACAACGTGTGCTTTATGGTAGAATTTTAGTCCTTTTTTTGGGGTAATGAAAAAAAGTTTTTTTTTGTTTTCTTTTCAGTCGTTTTGAAGGTGGAGATTTTGATAAAACTCGGGAAATTTTTAGTTGACAGTTTTGTAAAATATATGCAATTTTTTCTGTCGTTTTTTGTGGACAACTCCGAGGGTCGCAGGTAAAAAAGTGGACGGTGCAAGGATCTAGGCTTTTTTGCATTATGAAATTGCACAGTGCAAAACCATAGACTAAATTCAAGTAGAAGTTTGCACAATGCAAAACGAAAGGCTCTTCTTCACTAGAAAGCTGCCCTGGGCAAAAAATATAGGTTTTTCTACACTATGAAATCACACAGCACAAAGCCGGAGGCTGTTTTACACTAAAAAACTGCACTGCTCAAAAAATGTAGGCTTTTTTGCTCTATGGGATCGAACGTTGCAAAACTCTAAAAGTTTTTTTCAAGTGCGAAATTGCACGGTGCAAAACTATAGGCTTTTTCCAACTGCGAGATTGCACTGTGCAAAACTATAGGCTTTTTTCAACTATGAATCCGCACGGTGCAAAACCATAGGCTTTTATGCACTAGGAAATTGCACAGTGCAAAAATATAAGCTTTTTTCAACTGCAGAATTGCACAGTGCAAAGCCATAACCTTTCTTACATTACAGAGCTGCACTGTGCAAAACCATAGGCTTTTTTCAACTGCTAAATTGCACAGTGCGCATATTTCCCCAAACAAAACACATATTTTGCCTCCAACTTGTACACTTGGTGGCTACAAATTACGCTATAAATGTAAATGCAAATTACGTGGATTGCGTGAATTAAAATCCAATTTTTTGATCATTGACCATTCAAAAATT